TTAAAAAAAAAACCCCCCCCCCCCCCCCCCCCCCGGTACTGCACCATTGCACCAACCCCCCGCGAACGATGACGTGCATGGGTGGCCCGCATTGTGTTGTGTTGTTTTGTGCTGTCTTGTTGTTCTGTTTGTTTGTTTGTTGGTTGGTTGTCGTTACGGCATGTGTCTTTCTCTGTCTGTGTCTTTCTCCTTCTCTTTCCCTTCTCTCGATCTGCTCTCTTCTTTTTCTCTTTCTCTTTCTTTTACTTTTCTTTCTTTGTCCAGTCTAGCGTTACCCCGCATAGCGAGCGTGTAGAGACGAGCGGAATGGCCTAGACTATCTGTCGTTGACTTCTATTGGCTTGCGGACCCCTTCGGGTCCATCTTATTTGCGTATACCTTTTCGGGGTAAATTGGCCTGTGACCACGGGAATCGACCCCGTCAAGTGTTAGACTAGTACGGACAGAAGAAGGAACTGGGCAGAGAAAACGGAACGGTTTTTAATGTGAAGACAACAACAGCACCAACAACAACAACAACAACCCCGCTTATTACCACTCTTCAAGCCGTTTGCTCATGATATACTGATTCAAGAGGGTGGAGTAACCTTTGAGCACTTTGTAACATCCATCATGTCTGCTTAACTCGCACGGTGCCCTTCGTCCTAGCTGAGTGAAATAAGTCAAACCGCAGGACCAGCGAAGCTCTAAAAAACACACGTGCCTCCAAGCACATTCAAGACAGCCATGTTGTCCCGTGTTCTGAGAGAAAATGGAGCGCACCCCATGCGTCCACTCTCCTTGCTGGGGGCAGTGTAGAACACCAACTTACGTGCGAGTTATAACGTCTGACGTCTATTGCATTGCAGCTTTCCCTACTCTTGAGTGTTAATATTTCACCATGCAGCACGCAGCACCGAGACGCGCGCCCGGCGTTGCGGATGAGAACGGCGTAACTCCAGCATGTCTATACCGTTGTATAGCAGTCCGATGCAATGTCGGAATGTCGACCGGTTTGAACTGACGTACTTACTGTCAGTCGATTGTGCTGGGTCTAGAGCGTAGGTAGAACATATCGAATGCACAGAAAAACAACAACGACAACCAAACAGCGTACGGCGGGGAATCTGCAGAGACATCGTCGCATTTGGCAGTTAACCTGCCGTCGAGCAGGACACTTGTTCGATGCTACCAACTTAAAAGTAGGTAAGATACAAGCAACGGGGGTGCGACATCACCGGTACTTGTAATACCATTGGTCTTCTACGATAATCCATATAAATCATTTCGACCCTGAACGTTTATTGCACGGGGGATGCGATAACCCTGATACGTGCCTTACTGAGTACGCAAGACCCTCCAGCAAGGACTGGGTGCCTTCGACGCACACCCCCGTGCGAAAACTCCTATATGTGAGATTCCCAACATGTAACTGCCGTACCGCAGCACACATAGCGTTTCAAAATGTGGTATGCGATGCCGCCATACGTATCACGACACGTTTCAAGATGAAACCGCGAGATACCTCCGGAGCAGCGAATGTCCCAGAACCACTCGGGGCACTCGGTATATCGCACCCCCGTGAGTTATCCCGACCCGCGTGCAACAACGGAATTAAATCGTTTCGTTCTTAGTTCCCATCGCACTGGGGCGCGGTATCACCGAACCGTGCGTCTTCTCGCATCCTGACGGGAAAGATGCCCTTTCACCCTCTGGCCTCCCTCGCTGAGGGTGGGCCTAGGCCCGCCAGCGGCGTTCGACCATGAACAGAACACCACGGAGAAAATAGCCAAGCCTCGTATGGTAGATAGGAGTTACGGCTGTTGCGAGATCGGGGTATCTCCCGTCGGACCGACTTGTGCAGCAGCATGGGGTTCAACCCTAATGTCTCCACTTCGACACCGGGGTTGAGCAGCAGCGGAGACCGCAGTTGGGGCTGCACAGAGTGAGTATGGATGGGAGAAGCAAGGAAGGATTGGGGTCGGGCAGAGCAGGAGGGTTGCACCTGCCTGCGAAAATATACACCTTTGCCAGACAACCCAAACGGAGATTTGGCGAAAAACAGAAGAAAAGGGTGTAGAGAAAGGAGGAGATGGGGCCGGGCTGAACCTAGGCTTGCCAGGAGAGCAGCGTATGAGGTACGGGTGAGACTAAACTTGTACGGACTCTGGCTGCAAAGGGAGTCAACGGGTACGGCCGAGACTCCGGAGGGTGCTGTACGAGGCGGTGCAACTCGGCATCGCTGAGGTGGGAATGCAGGAGACGGGAAGGGCTAGGCGAACGGAGTTTGTTGCAGCAGGGTTCATGGTGTTCTGTCATGAGAGCGAGTCAAGTGGGACACATGGGGTGGGGTCAGCAGTGGAAGAGCGGATACGCTGCAACTCCACTGACACTGTCGAGTACGGTACCAACGACGGCCCCATGGCCATGCGGTTTGAGAGACCGAGCGAAAAAGCGAAGCGGTGATGTTGTAACTACCTACGCACTGACAGAGGTAAAAGTTCTGAGATGAGCTCGATAGCCTGTACTTGGGGAGGAGGCTTAAGGTATAGCTGTACCCGAACAATAGTCTTTACTAAGACGATGTGTTTTGTGTACCAGTACCTCGTACATACGTGACGTATATACAGAAGGTACTGCTTGCAACTCCTACACATATTGTCGGAAGACCGGCGCTATTACGAGCTTAGCGTCGGGGAATGTCCCGCAACGGCCTACACGCAGCAGCCAAGCTGCAACAACAGTGAGTCAGTTCATTTTTCCAATGTTTGCAATGTCTGCAATTTGGCATGCGTTGAGTTGCTGTCTTCCACAATGACGAAACGAGTTCCCTCTTCATTCTTGGGAACTGGGCTTGCTTGTCCTAAACCCTGCTCCCGCGGAAATACTAGAGTGACTACCGACATCACATCCATGCGCCCGTATACAAAGTAGGAAAGTAAGAAAAATGTTCAAGACTGCTTCCTCGAACAGCCTTCAACACATTATTGTGTGAAAGGTCCGACCAACTGTCCACGCCAACACTCCGGCGTCGAGTTCCGTCAGTCGATGGTGGGGGGGGGAGCACGTAGAGCCTCCTCTTTTCGTAGTCATGGCAAAACGATGCACTCATTGAGGGTATGCGTCACCCTATTCTTTCAACCTGATACGCAAAACAGATGTTTCCGGAGCCGAACGCACAGCTCGCTCCGAAAAATAGATAAAAAGCGAAACGCCGGCGTGATATTTGGTGCAATCATGCCCCACGCCGCAACAGGAAAAAAACTACAGTGATGAACCATCACCCGCGACACGAGAAAAAAGGAAAGCCACAGCAACATGCCAGGCACACGGCAATCTTCCCTCTTTTTGTAGTCGCGGCAAAACGATGTACTCTCTGCGGGTTCTCATCACCCTGCATGGCGTATGGTTGCCCAACGCGGGTTTCTACTCGACGAAATAGCCCGGCCACTGCGCTTGAAAAAATAAACGGTGCAGTGAAGGTACAAATCAAAGGGCAGCGGGGGTTTACTGGTCTTCCTCCATCGCCCGCTTGAGAGCCGCGATGCTCTGAATTAGGAATGCCTTCCTGATGGGGTGCTCCTCCTCCAACAGTTGTTTTTCGAAATTCTCGTGAGTCAGGGGGATATATCCCTTTTCAGGGTGATGGCAGCGGACTTGGCCTTGACTTCAGAGAACTTGACCTCGGCTTCTTCGTTTTTCCGCAGCCATTCGTACCCCTTGTGCCCGGTATATGGTGCCTGGTGAAGTAGCGGTATGATCTCGAACAGGAGTGCTTGGATGACTCCCTGCACACATTCCGCCACGTCTCGCGTCCGATCAGCTTCCTTCGTCTTCCTCTTCTTCGCTCGGTTCATCTTGTAGAGACTCTTGCCCTCGCGCTTGGCGGCTGCCCTGCGTTCAGCGCCGCCCGTGGCCCTATTGTTCGCTCCGGTCCCATCGTCCTTCCGCTGGACATCGTTAGGGCGGAGTGCGTTGCACACCTGGTCTAGTTCGGGAGATTTCGCCACGGCTTCTCCATTGGTGTACGTGTCGGTATCCCCTGTTTTGGCGAACGGGGGAAGGGGGTTGAGCGGGGGAGACGTTGTCGTGTTCGATTGTGTTCAACGTTAGTGCCGCATGTCCGCCACTGTAGTTGGCCAATGGCTCGGTTCAATTTACTGAACGTAAATCCAAACAGCTGGACTCGGTGCGCAGACCTCTTGGCTCCGCGGCCGCCGGCATTGTCCTTCACCACGCCCTTGGGCGTCGTGCTCTCTATAGCCCAGAATTGTCGTTGTCGTCGGGATAACCGGACTTGGACACACTGCCCGACGAAGAGAGATCATCGGCTCCCGGCCCAACTGTCGAGCCGCTGCGTTGGTGTTGTTCTCCTTGTCCTGATCAAGGTCATCGTCACGATTTCCGTCGTCGCTCCAGTTCTTTGCCACGTTTGGCCCACATTCATACAGCATGTCTTTCGGTACTGTTGCAACCGCACGCAGCTGAAACAACAGCAGCTTGACGAGTAGACGTGGCGAGTTCGTGGTGGGTGAATGTGTACATTGACGTTCCCCTCGACCGACCACCAACCTGCCGACACCGACGGCGGGCGTTCAGCAACGCGATCCCCTATGGCTGACTGCCGCACGCAAAGCAGTGCGGACAAAGGCGCCCGCTGCGATCTGACCGGCGTCTGCCGCATGACGCCCCCAGCGGCCGCGATCTGCGAGTGGCCATGGTTCCCAGCTGCACCACTCTCATCCACCCCCATCCTGCAGTCGACCAGGCACTATCTGTTGTGACCCTCGCAGGTCTCCGAGTAGCAGGCCTAGTGTTGCGTTCATGGTGTGGGTTTGGCACGGCTGCTTATTTGTGCTGGGGGTCAAGAGGCTGGTCGTGCTGGTGAGTGCCCGCGTCGGCTTCCAATTGTGTTTGCAAAAAACCAAGCGCCTTCACGATAAGAACAGCGGGGTTACCTTTTCCGTTTCGCTGGAGACAACTTTTTTTCTTCTTAATATGGCACAACATATCCATCTCTATCCAGAGAAAAGAGTCTTAAAACAGGGAAGCAAAGAAATACTACTAGCTGTCGCTACAACGAGCGACAGCTGATAGATGTAACTGCCGTCAGACGTGTGCGTCCACGGGAGGAAGTGCGTGTGATTGCGAGGGGCACCGCAGGTGGAATGAAGCCTTTTCTTTCTTTTTTTTTGCAGTTGCCTTTTTCGTGCGTCAGTCTGCCGCCAGCTGCTGTGGTGTCTGCTGCTGGCGCCTCGTAGCGTTTCTCTCTCAGCTAGGCGCCCGCTGTTCTGGTGTCGGCGGCTGCCCTCGCTGTCGCCTAGCGGCGGCTCTCTGCCGGTCCGCTCGCAGCCTGTGTGTGAGAGAGAGTTGTTCCCCTGAAACATCAACCCCGTCCAGCCGAGATGTTTCATGAAGAAGTCAAACCGCATATGATTATGCATTCATTATTATCGCACATCTATCTCTGCCGCAGCGAAGTAGATACAGAGAAGTAAACTAAACTTCCGGTGCGCGCATCCAACACTGGTGGTAGCATGGCACACGTCACACACGATCACCTACCTCCACACACAACGCCGCCAGAGACAACGACTGGAGGCGTGGGCTACGCTATTCTCGGACACGGCGAGCGATTCTCCCTTTGACAAGTTGTGTGTGTCCTTTCAACATGGACGGGCGGCGGGTGAACTTTCATTGTCACGGTCTGAAAGGAGTTTGGTTACAGACGACCCCCGCGCCTTCAATTGCTCATCCATCTCTGCGCCTGTACGCCCAAGACTCGGAACGCCCAAAGACATCCTTACCACGCCAGTGTTCTCATGAACTGAGATCAAACTGGTAAGCCGTTGTGCCATAGTGCCGTGGTCACAACCCCGTCGTCAGCCTGTCGATGTTGTTTTCTGGATTGTTGGATGCGGAGACCCGCGGGCCGGATGCATGCCGCGGTGATTGTGACTGATCACTTATCAACTACTGCGGTGTATGTCCCAAACCACCTCCACCGTCTGCACGGTCTCTGCTTTCCTCTGCAACTCTGCTGACACTGGCACGATACGGCTTGACTGCTAGAAACTTCATCTGGGGCAGCTGGTTCGCAGCAGTAGATGTAGAAAAGTACACGTCTCAAGAAATCGATTGCTTGATTTTTCTATTTGTTCACCATTAGCTCACAGCAGCTACACCCTCTATTTCGCTGGCGGCTGTATGTTGTCGCTCGCTGTGCCCGCTGTGCCCGCTGTTCACGTGTCGCCGTGCCCGGTGAGCGTGTGTTGTCTGCTGTGCGTGTTCTGCAGCTGCAATAGCTTTAATCTGTGCTGTGTGGTCACGTGCGGGCTGTTGTGCGTTTCGGAACAAATGTGGCTGGAAGCAGCCTTCCATTTAGCTGTTGCGGCGTTGCGGAATCGCACTATTTCCGCCGCGAAATGGTAAATCCGCAGCACGGCACGGGGTCTCTGTTGCGGCTTCCCGCAACAAGAGAGTTAGAGAGCGCACATATTTTTGCCGTAGGTGAAAAAAAATGTGCGGCACTTTTGATGTCTCGCCGTGAGGCGAGAAAAACAAGTTTGGGTCCTCTTTTCTCGCCGTGAGGCGAGAACAGAAAAAAAAATTGGTCCCTTTTTTCTCACCGTGAGGCGAGAAAAATTGTTTGGACCCTTTTTGTTTATGGTACGAAGTAACGTTTAGAAGCGAGACGTTTTCAGAAATGGGTTCAAACACGGCAAAAATGTTGGCACGAGAGGAGACAAAAGAGCACAGAAAACAGGACACAAACAAAAAAAACAGAAAATTCTCAAGGGGGAGTGTACTTGCCCATTTTACACCCACGGTGCCCCTTTTTGAATGGGCAATTGACTGCGGCTGTTGGGCACACAAGCCAGCTGCGGACGCAGCTAGCTACTACTACGCAGCAGACAGCGGTCCGCGCGGACACGCTACAGCATGTCAACCTCTCAAGGAACAGAAGAGAGTCCTATCGCGTTAGAAGATGGTTACAGCCAGCGCAGACAATGTCTTGGATGTGACGCGCCAGATTGCAGCCCGTCTGTCGACGGCTTGTTCTACTGCGGTAAAAACGGCAATATTTTGTTATTGGTTGTTGGTGTGTCGCGTGTCCTCACGTGTAATTTTGTTGTTTGTGTTGTTGGTGTGTAAGGGTCTCTTGTCCTGCTCATGTCCCCATGTCATTCCAAGTTTTTAAGTGCAAACAAACCAAGAACAAACAAAATAAAACATCCTCGTCCCTCGTCCCAACAATTAAAGCGTTGATTTTGAATGATTTTCTGCAACACTGCTTTGAATATCAATCAATCATTGTGATGTAAACACTCTCCCATATACTTCAAGTATGTACATATAAGATTTGGTCACTTTTCATGCCTCGGCACTTCTTTCTCTCGCCACAGCGAGTCTTTTCTCGCGGTTCCTTCTCAGGGGCACGCAGGAGGCCCGTCGGTACATTAACGCCCGTGTCCGGAGCTCGGCAGACCTCCGTGGCGCGTATAGTTAACCGTCAAAGTTGCGAAAATTGGCTCAAAACCCAGGGGACGCGTTCCGCGACGACAATGCCTCCCGAACCAATTCCTTGAACTCCTCTGTTGCATACCAGGAGATGTTTCCCCCCGCAAGTTTCGAGAACACGGTCGCATAATTTTTGGAATCATTTCGACGGTTCCTAATCGGGGTAGCATCATAACATGTGTGCGCCCGTGTGTACGTTTCTATGCAGTATCGTGTTTCTTCACACACAGCTTCGGGGCCGCGACTCTGCTTGGAACTCTCACCTCCGGTTTGCAAATGTATTGTGTGGAAGATACATGTTCACAGACCTACAGTAATTCATATTCCATGGTTGATTGGAACACGTCATGCCAGTCACAGAATTTTTCGAATATTTTCTTCATAGGTCAAACCTCCGATTTTCTCCGAATGGGTGCGGGCCATCACCACTGCACCAGGTGCACGTTCCCCAGAGATGGACAACAGCAGTAACACATGTATTTCATTCACACATACTGTGCGGTGTATGCATCTGCATCAGCACTCCTTCTCGGGGCTGGTCATGTGTAGAACTATGTGTCTATACATGTACAGGAAAAAATCCGATTCAACTCAAGCTCAAAACGAAAAACCTGACAGGTCGAAACGTGCCGATGACTGAATTTTTCGGATATTTTCTTCATAGGTCAAATCTCCGATTTTCTCCTGAAGGGTGCGGGCCATCGCTGGCGGGCCATCACTGCACCAGCTGCACGCTCCCCGCACGGATGGATACGCCACAGCAACAACACTTATTCGTACATTACGGCGCGGTGTATGCATCTGCATCAGCACTCCTTCTCGGGCTGGTTACGTGCAGAACAATGTGTTGTCTAATGATGTACAGGCGAAAGTCCGATTCGACACGAAAAAAGAAAAAATCAGTTCCAAAAGCAAAAATCTGCCGTGGCATGCAAATATTCGGCTGCCCGCACTCGCTCTCACGATGGCCCTCCTCCCATCTACTCCTTCTACACCCCCCCTCTCATCACAAAGCACAGCTCACACCGCCAGAGCAGCTTCCACCCTCTTTCTCTCCCTCGGTCAAAAAACACCGTACATCCATGCCTCGCCAAAGCCGCCAAGCCTCCAGCGCCGCTACCAACGCATCGTCCTCCACCGCCGGATCCTCTCCGCCGGCTGCTTCTCCGGCTGCTTCTACCCCGCCGCCCGCGAGCGGAGCCGGCTCATCTGCGAGTGCTGGCTCATCTGCTGCTGCCACCGCCGCCGCCGGCTCGCCCGAGCAAAGGCCGACCGCGAGCCGCAATACCTCTGCCCAGGCACCGGTTGCAACACCAACCTCCACAAAGACAGGGCCGACTACCCCGCCTGCAGGACCTTTAGCGTCGGCACCTGCGTGTGGACCGGCCTTTTGATCAAGTACCCCGGAAACGTCTGCTGGCTCTGCGCCTCCGAGTTCGAGGTCGGCGAAGTGGTATGGGCATACACCATCCCAGGTGAGAGCTTTCGCATATCTACAGCAGTAGTACAATGAATGATCTTCCTTCACGGCTTGGAGTTCGCGCGTTGATGTACGTGATCATTTGTATGAACGCGATTCATATTTTTGGCCGACGCTATCATGTACATACAAAGTTGTTTACACCACACAACATTCGGCGCTCTTCATCATATTTCGGCGCTCTTCGTGATGAGGTATGAATCATGCCCACGTTGTATGAACTAACACGATTCATTCCTGATTTCTGTCACAAGAAGATCACACAACAACCAAGCAACCTTGCAACATTTTTTGTGCTGTGTAAGGCTTTCGCGCCAACTTTGCCCCTCCCTGCGCTGTTGAATGACTCAGAAAATGAACAGATCTACTTCAACAAAACGCTGCTCTCCATGTATGTAAGTGTTCATCGCCTTCCCTTTTTGTGATCAAACAGACGTGGAACGCCCGGCGTGTTACATAACCTGGTGCCTCAACGGGGACGCCGGCATCATCCTCAAGGAGGAGGGCGTCCCGGTCAACGCTAGGCTTGCCGGCGAGGACGACGTGAGTCCTTTGTTTCTGTTTCGCAATCTATCTATCTATTTAGATGTTTCCAGCCCCTACCCCCTTCTGTCTGCCTGACCAACACAACACAACACTAATCATTATTGATGTTCTTGCCCGTATGCGCACTGCCATGTTAGGCATGATGTGTTCCACTGTCCTTTCCTGCCCAACACAACACCAGATATCCTGCCCGAACATATCCGCACGCACATGCTCGGTACAAGGTGTGTTGCCGCAAGACAAAAAAAAATTCATCCCACATGTCCACACCTTATTTTTGGTGTTCGACACCATTATTTTCAGCGTGAATATGCGCACGTACGTGTTCGTTATGTATGTATGTGTTCCTGTCATTCCTGCTGCGCAAACACTAAAGCTGACGCAGGACCCACTTCTTTTTACATTCGTAGGGTATGTGCACACTTTTGTTTTCGTGTTCCACGCCATTTTTTCAGTGTTCCTGCCCGTGAATGAATATGTACACGCACATGTCCTTCGGTATGGTTATTGATTTTTCTGCTGCCAACGCCATTATGCTCACGCAGGACAGCTGTTTTTTCCACACCATAATTTGCAAGTTTCCTCTGTAGTCTATTCTTAACACTATATTTGCTGCACAACGACATAACGCTGACGCAGGATGCATCTTTTTTCCCTTCCTCATTTTTATCGTGTAATTCCCACAGGTTCTCGTGCAATTCCTACAGGTTGCACTGCAGTGACTGCAAACGTGCCGACCCGACCATACTGGACACGGACCAGTTAATCGCCAAGTCCACCCAGTCCTTTCACGTCGGCCAACCCCTTCCACCTCCTCCGTCCCATGACACATGCGATGTTTTGTACGGGGGCGAGCACTACCGAACTTTGAAATTTAATCCATGACTTCACTACTTCCTTTCCAACTTGCGTCACCCCCGGGGGGCCTGACACCAACGTCCCGAAGGGGGACCTTGTATGTACATCTAAGATTTGGTCACTTTTCATCTGAGATTTGGTCACTTTTCATGCTTCGGCGTTTCTTTCTCTCGCGGCAGCGAGTCTTTTATCGCATTTCCTTCTCAGGGACACGCAGGAGGCTCGTCGGTACATTAACGCCCGTGCCCGGAGCTCGGTAGGCCTCCGTGGCGCGTGTGGTTGACGGCCAAAGTTGCGAAAACTGGTTCAAAACCCCGGGGACACGTTCCGCGCTGACAAAGCCTGGCGAACCAATTCTGAAACCCCATCAAATACGACGGTTTGAAATATTTGCCTCTTGCTTCTCCACTTTCGTTTGTTCATTAATTCATTCGATGATTCATGGCTGTGACTCTTGGTGTCATCGTATTGTCCAACAGCAGTGCCTACGTTTACTACACTTCGCAGCGGGCCAAATGCAGACAAGTCTGAGAGCATGCATCCAGCCGCAGTGTTGAGCATGTCCCATTTGTGGCGTTGTTTCGGCTTCAAATTCGGTTCTCATCGGAAATCTGCCATCATCAATCAAAGACATCATGGAAGTCTGAGGTTTTCGCTGCCAAAATTTCGTCCGCTGGAGCTGGCTCCAATGTAGAATAACAACGTGCGCGATGTTTTGTGCGGAAATACAAGCGTAGCGTTGTAAGACACACAGTCCCTCTTCGGGCAATACGCATGTGGTCTTGGTCACCTGAGGGAGGGTAGACACCCACGTCCCGAAGGGAGACCTTGCATATATAAACAATTTTGAGCTGTTTTTTAATAGTATTCTGCAAGTACTACGTCGAATACCGCCAAAACAAATGCCTCCGGCGGGCCTCCGGGGGCCCTCCGGGAGCCCTACGCGGGGGGCGCCCTCCCGGGGGGGGCCTGCGGGGGGCTGGCTGCCGCAACACGCCTTCGTCATCTTGTTGCCCGGCAAACTGCGGCTGCCGCACTTCAGGCCTGCGCCCTAAATGGAACGCTGGCTGGAAGTATGTTCGCGAAGAACCACCGTCTCAGAAACGGCCCGGAATTTTGAATTCTGAAAGTCACTATTTGTCAACATCTGACCACAGAGGCATGGAGTTGTCGCGTTTACTCGGGATGACGCAAACTGCAGGTGTGATATAGTGTGGTGGTGACAAGCTCCAGGCGTGAATCTGCGGATTGGGGGCATTCGAGACATGCACCAGCCAACATCTCGCCCTTGGAAACGACAAAGAGGAGTGTTTTCCAACGGTCACATAGACACAGCGAAGGGGGCGCACATGTGCTGCCATATTGCTTTAGGCTATCTGCAGGGTTGTTCCGGTGTACTGCTGTTGCTATGTCGCTACGTTCCTATGTGTCTACGGTATGCATATGTGCCCTTCACTTTGCTCTGCGCTCTGATCTCTAATCTTCCAATACAGCAGCAGGTACCAGTTACCGCCCAACCCACCACAATCCGTCTCACGTCTCACCTTCACTTGGCATCAGTCAACCTGCACTGTAGGTGTACGAACTCCAGGTGAGCCGGACAAAGAAGTATGTGACGTGCGACGTGCGATGCTTCCCTACAAGCGTACGAAGGGTGCGATGGAGCAGGCCAGCAGCAGGCCCCAGGGTCCCATAAGGGCCCAAGGTCTAAGGCGAGATATTGTATGGAAGCGTTCGGGTTCAAAAACAAAGTGAACCTGGTTCGGAGTTCCCCCGCCGCCCGCCGAGCGCCGAGAACCGAGAGGACGCAAAATACGCGACGCTATGAATCCATTGCTAAGCTGTCTCAGACTCTTTTTCTATGATAGAGATGGTTTCGTTGTGTCATATTAAGAAAAAAAAAAAAAAAAAAAAGAGACAAATGGGGGACACCGGACACGAGACACGGGACACGAGACACGAGACTCGGACTCGAGACTGCTAGTCTAGACTAAACACGCACTCACGTACATATTTGCAGCGAAAACAGTTTTTGCTAGGCAAGAAATGGGTGCCGTGTTTCTCTGTGCACACACGTTTCTTGCATTCTCCTGTATCAGCAAAATAAAAGTAAGTGTGGAAAAGGACGACCGCGAGGTGTATGCTACTGCTGTTGGATCACCGCTCTATTCATCTCCTCACCAAAAACACAAAAAAATGGTTGACAACTGTATGTGTTTCGTGTATCCGTCCTATTTACTATGGTGGCAGTTCCCCCATTTGTCTACACTTATCAGTGTTTTTCGTACAACTCAACCATCCAGGCTCACACCCAGGGGTAAACACAGGGGGGGGGGTACCCTAGTCGGGCATGCCGTAGTCGGTATTTTAGACCATTCATTGACCTCGCATCCCTTCAAAGCCGGGGGGGGGTCTTTTCAATTTTAATTTTAATTTTCGTGCCCCACCTTCCTCCTGCGGTGCGTAAAGAATTTAGTTTTCTATCGCGAGAAGGGTCCAGCCGTTCCCTCGTCGACAGTGCTAATGTCGAAGTTTGGTACAACTCACGAGAGCTTTTCAGCTTTATTGTCGCTTTCACCCGCAAAGATGTACATTTTTAACCCAACCCCATGGAGATTCGAACTCGCGATGTTGCCACTATAGCGGTTTCGAGGATACCACTAAATAGACCACCGGGCGGGGCGACCGTTGGTGTTGTTTGTGTATGTAGGTGACCCAAGTGACCACCATTTTTGAAGAAAGAACGAACGAACCCGCAGTGTTCGACATTACTCAGCAAATTGAATCAGCTGTCAGGACTGCATCAAACCTTCGGCGTCCATGAACGGCTGTCGAGTCGCATTGACATGTGTGCACGAGGAGGAAGACAGAATGTGTAGCGAGGGAAGGTAGTTACGTACACAGGTTATTGTAGGTGTTTTAGGTGGAAATTCCTCAGAATGAACGTGCGGGCAGAGGAGAGACGCAGGCCGTTCGTGCCCTGGATTCGTACTTTGGATACCCCCGTAGGCGCATGTCAGATCTCATCATTCGTATAGAATGACAAGCAATTAGACCAACTGTTCCCTAGCGCTGCTCCTACGGTCTAGTCGCAGCAACGTCGCAAAGAAATCAAGAAAACAGCGAGCCACAATTGACGCTTGCTTGCAAAAACTTGTCTTCAACGTGGGCCACCGGCAAGAAGACGCCTTGCTGAAACCCCTAAGAGACATGCCCCTGCGCACGCTTCATAATACCGCCGAGTACTATCTTAGAACATCACATCAGTAGGGAAACTTCCTTCCAAAATCACTTCAGCTACAGGGCAAAAAACACCTCCTACTCTGTGTCTTCTCATTGAACTGAGAATCGCTATAGCATCGCGAAAGAATAGATCATCGTTTTCGTTTAGATCCGCCGGAGTTCCACTCGCCCTGCGTTGTGAGTGAACAAGGGAAATACAAAAAAAAACAGGCGCCCGGAGGGGATGAAGGATTAGATAGCGAGACAAAGAGGATGAAGGGGAGAGACAGAAGGACGCCGACAACCAGAGAGAGGTTTGCAGCATCTAGGCATGATAGATTGGTAGGGCGGGTGGGAGGGAGATCACGGCTCGCTCAAGGCACATGCTCGGCTGAGCCGGTGCGAATCAGGGTGGGTGAGGATCATTAGAAGGCATGGTTCAATGGGCCAAGCATCGATTTGAAGTGGCACAAGGTGAACGAGTTTGGAAGCAGAAAACACTATGCATAGGGCATTCAAACTTCAAACACCGGGCCGCAAAGTCAGACCGCACACTGACGACATAGTCCTGTGCCAAACAAAAAACACCCATACTACAACTTCTCTTGAGAGACGAATGATAAATAAAAGGGTCAAGGTTTCTCGGTCGCCATGGGCACCGCTCTTCGTCTGCACCTGCCGCTTTCCGCCGCTCTTCCTTCCCCCCTTCCCGCCGCCCTTCCCACCACCCTTCCCGCCACCCTTGGCGCCTCCAGCCCCACCCCCCTTCACACCACCCCCTTTGCGGCCCCCGCCGCCGCCGCCCTTCGACCTCTTCCCCTGTTTCCGCGGCGCAAACTGCTGCTGCGGCGGCGGCACGGCCCCGCCGTCCGGCGGGAACGGTCCCGCCATGAACGGCGGCGGCTGCATCGGCGCCGGCGGCAGCACCTGCTGCAGCGGCATCGGTGGCGGAGGCGGGGCCATCATCCCGATGCCCTGCAAATCACCGGGGGGGGCACCGTATGGTAGGTCTGGCCGCGGAGGGGGGGGGGCACCGGCGGCGGGACCGTAGTGGCCGACACTGCCGCCCCCGGGGCCTGGCTGCTGGCCGCCCCCGCCCGGGGGAGCGTTGAGGCCTAGGAACGGGCAGTACTGGTGAAAGTGTCCGGGGTTGCCGCAGTTGTGGCAGACGTGGTTCTGCTTGGGGACGTTCTTGAGCGGGCAGTCGAGCCACCAGTGGTCCTGGCGCGTGTGTGTCGGTGGGTGCGACGAATGTTGTGCACGTTGGTTGCGGTGGTTGTGGCATGTGGTGGTATTCAATATTGTCGGCGGGAGGGTGATTGATTGGTAGCGTTGCTGCTGTCCGCCAGTGTAACGCCAGAACAAAAGCGAGTGGTATCATATAACCCATCACAGGTCAAGGCCGTACGAAGAGAGACGTAGGACGGCGATCACGCGGACAACAGCACGAAACGTGCGCCTAACCAACATGTTGGGCAACGAAAACAGGCAGACAGAAACGAAATATATTCTTGATTCACAAAACGAATCAAGTCAGTTCCCGTCAGTGCTGCTCCCCTAGCAAGGAGTCGAAAACAAAAAATAGCTGGTGCCCAGCAGAATACGGGCTGCGACCAGTGAAAACAATGGCACAGTGGGAACCGGAAGGGCGGCAGCGGCAGAGGCAGAAGCAGTTCCAGCAAGGGAAAATATGTATGACAGGCTTTGCCACAAAATTTTAGTCACGGGACCAACAGGGAATCCAAACACGACAAAAAACAAAAGATGACAACTTACAGGCACCAAAACCTAGCTGCGCATCGCAACAACGACAAGACAGTCGGCCACGCGGACCTCCTACCCCTACCCACATTTCCGCCGCAGCGTTTGCAGACGTAGCTCTTGGCAGGTCGGCTGGTAGGGCGCCGCCCGGCCGAATCCCACGCCCCCCCCCTCCCCCCAGTTCGCCCCCCCCTCCCCCTCCCCCCGGACTCTCTTCCCGAGCCCCCCCAGCCCCCGTCGCGGCCGCCCTTTCCTCCTCCCCTCCCTTCCCCTCCCCTGCCGCCGCCGCGGCCTCTCCCATCCCCCCCAGTCCTGTCTGACCCTCTATCTCTCCCGCCGGCCCCGCCGCCCCGTTCTCCACGTCCTCGACCCCCCCTGTCTTTCCCCCGCCCTCCCTTGCCCCTGCTGCTGCTGTCTGGATCCCCGGCGCCTAGCTCCGGACCGCCAAGCCGCACGATCGTCTGCGCGAAGCGATTCCCGAGGGGAAGCTTGGAGAGTGGCACCGCCAAGGGTTTCCCCAACCCTGGAAGCTTCGTTGGGATTTCGGGGGCCGGGGCCGGGGTCTTGGCGGAGGCGGCGGCGGCCGCCGCCGCGTCGAGAGCGGCGAACGCTGCGGTGGCGGCGGGGCTCGGGGTGAACCCCTCCGGCCTGGTAGTGTCGTCCGGGTCGACCTCGGCAGCCGTTCCGTCCTCGTTGAGCTGATGGCGTAAGGTAGATGCCCGCAGAACAGCGCAAGCGTACACCGATGGCATCGACAAGGGGGAGAGGTAGATGTGAAATTGCGAACAACTCTCGGGTGTCCATATTTCCCTTTTCGAGAGCGACGGAATGAGGGGTGCTTGTACCCCTGGCTGGGTAAAAAGACACATCATCCAACCGCACCGTGGAGGCGTTGTACAGGTATCCATCCTCACACCAACACGCATTTGAGACACGAGGTGGTACTCCCTGCCCCAACGTGAGTGTATAACATCAACAAAGCAACTGTCAGCAAACGCTGTGGCTGCCGTCCAACTGGTCAACGTGTAAGCCTCGTGACAGATAGGTCTCGAGTCCAAGTCCCAAGCGATAACGAGTCCGTACCTAAAAACTGCAGATAGGGCTTTGTGTAGTTTGTGTGTGCGCTTGAGGGATGGAACCGCTGCTGGAGCATCTTCGCCTTACAACTGGATGCATGCACCGCACGGGAACCCTCTGCTGTGTAGCCCCGGGTCCTCGGACCTCTTCAAAAGAGAAGGAAAAACCGATCGGTACGAACAACCGCAATCGGACCACGCGCCGGAAACACTTGTAACCGGCGGATGCCAAAATGGCCATGCAACAAAACACACACTCATTCCCAAAAGCCTAGACTAGAGTAAAGAACACAAAAGAGCGCGTCTCTACCCGCCCAGCTCCCTAGGAAGCAGCAAGCTAGCAGGTACGGATGAGCAACCAGAAAACCGTCGCTTCCTCGCACCTCTGGCTTGCAACCCATCGTGTCTCCGACGCGGTTTCTGACCCAGAACTTGACGGTGTGGTCGTTGCTGCCAGACGCCAACACGTGCCCCACGGGATGCCACCCCAGATCCCAGACGGCGGTACCGTCGTGGGCGTACTCTATCTCGGCATGCGGTTTCTCCGATCTGTGGAAAAGTGTGCCGCGCGGCGACGGCGGCGGCGGCGGCAGCGGCGGAACCAAGTTGCCGACAAGGGGTATAGTTCCAATGCTGTAGCGGTCGACGTTACAAGTAGATGGGGAAATATCGATACCCGGGAAGTATGCATGTACTCAAGGCAACGGATTCTGTGTATTGAGAAGAGAGCTGCGGCAGATTCAAAGGCCGGTCGCAAATGTAAAGTTCAGTGGAATTCGGGTGAGTGATGTGTACAAATCCTGTCATTGCGCCAGGCTTCTTTGTCTACACCAGCGACAAGGGCTAAGGAGCGGCGTTACAACGCAAAGGCACCACCACCTATACCAACCCGATGCTTTTCAAGAATCCGCAGCGCATCGCTGCTCTCCATAACTACGACAAACACCGTACAAAATCGAGGACGTGTTAAAAAAAGGGCAAAAAAAGACATATTGCAGCATCGAGCACAGGTCAGATAAGAGCAGAAAGGATAAGGCAGAGCATCAAACGCGTGTCAGGAAAGATTAAGCCCTCGCTCACCCGACGACCCAGTACATCATCTTCCCGTCGTAGCCCCCGCTGGCTAGCAACCGCTCGTGCTGCGGGTGCCACGCCAACGCCGTCACGTCCTGCCCATGGCCCTGCAGTGGTGGGCATGGTCGTGGTCACGGTTGATTATGGCAGGCAAACCGTGGTGATCACAGGTATACCAAAGGTCATACAAAAAGCACTGTTCTTTACCGTCGGTCCTACTGTAGGTATGCACACCTGCCGTGGTCGTGGGGTTGCGTTCTCTGGTGAGGACCTATTGGAATACAACGCGGGGTCCAAAAGGAAAATGTCTCCACGCTGCACGCATTCAGTGATATAACGAATAGGTCTCAACAATATTATTTCCGAGATTTTCTCGCGAACAAGCGCAACACTACGTCACGATGGGAATTGAACCCACGGATTTGGTTATCCACAAGCTTCCGAGCATGGCCATGTTTCGCTGTTTTTTGTAGTCGTCGGGCAACCACAGAAAGTACCCAACAGTCGTGTGGTGGTGATGAGAAAAAAGACGCTAACAGACGGTTGTCGTAGACAGCTTGAAAGTTCGGCGGTTCTGCCACACCGAACGAAGAGAATCGAGGCGACGCTAGGAAGTTTGGCAACCAGGCTGTCAGGGTAAAGAACGGACATCGGAGACAGACTACCAAGGCAAATTCTCAAACCCAACCTCAAGCCAAATCAATATTGCTCAGATAGAACAGATTATGACCTACCTCACCTTTGTCCTACCTATCACCATGGAGCAAGCACATGTACACCGGTCATCCATGTCCTTCAGATCACCATGGAGCAAGTATAAACCAATCGCCTGTGTCCTACAGATCATCTTGGAACATACACGGATCGCCGGTGTCCTACCGATCACAAGAGAGTTCAATCTGTAGATATCTGATCTGCCCTATATGTGTGAAACTGCAACATCGTTGCAAAGAGTGCCGTCGGTATACAGGAGAAGCACAAGGCGGGGAAAGCACAAGCGCTCGGAAGCAGGCCATAGGCCATAGGCGCCCACCTTGAAGGTGCTCATGTCCTTCATTGTTCTGATGTCGTAGAGCTTGATGGTCTGGTCTCTCGAGCTGGACACGAGCCAGTTCCCGTTTTTGTTCCAAGTGACCTTTGTGATCAGGCAGGAGGCGCGGCACAGAAAAGCTAATTGTACCCACAATGCGGTAAAAAAAACGAGAGGGTGTTGGGTTGTCCCGACCGGCGCAATCCACGCAACGGCCTGTCTAGACAAGGAGGCGTATGCAGAAGGCAACCAGCGCCAACAAGCAACACCTCAACAGCCCTACGTCGACATGAAGGGTTGCAGACAGCCGCCGAAAACACCACACGAGCACCAACACAATAATGCCACGGTCGACACCAACACAGGCAGCAACAAAGGCACAACCAACAACTGACATCAAGGCCCACCCCGACACTACACAGCACCAAAACAAGCATCGAGGCTTTTCCGCTCCCTCCCACCTTCATGACGGTGTTCTTGTGCCCGTACAGGGTGCTCAGACTGTTCCCTGTCCTCGGGTCCCAGAGCTTGATGAGGTTGTCCTTGCTGCCGGACACTATCAGAGACTTATACGGGTGCCACTCCACCGTCTTCACATCCCACCCGTGCCCCGTTAGCGCGCGTTCCTCCTTATAGTACTCCCAGTCCCAGATGCGCACCTGTCGTGGCGTCGTCGACAATGGTTCATTGACAAAAAATTGAAGTACTGCTGAAGGTATCGACCTTGTATAATCTGGGGGGGGGAAACTACAATAGCTCCATTGTCGGGATGCTTCGGCAGGCGCAAGTCCTGGACAACAAAATGCAAAATCATCATGAACGGCTGCCGCAATGGAAGGCGGCATGTGGTGCTAATAACTCGCGTGTGCGACGTGCTGGTGCAATGACGGAGTTAACAAGTATATTTTCGCAGCAAATCGTTGCTTACAGCATTACACCAGCTGCCACACCACAAACAAGACCTCGAGCGAAGATTGAGACACGTGCTTCATTCTGTCTATGTCAACGAATAATTGTTGCCCAAATATTAGGCTCATGCTGAACTATTCCCCTTTGGTAGTACAGTAGGGGTCCCTGGATATGGCCGCTTATGTCAGGCCGGTTGCCCTAATTAAGGCCGTTGAAATCGCTTGGCACAGATGGAATTTATAACATTCACGTTGTCTCATGCACTGAATAAGGCCGGCTGCCCTGCTTAAGGCCGTGGCACATGGTGGCCTTGAACAGGGACCTCTGCTACTGCACACTGTCTTTGGGTATGTCTTATGTCAAACGAATAATTTGCTACCCAATACTTTGGTCTGACTGCTCAACTACTGATCTCATTGGCCTGCATCGACCCGTTACCGTTCAGTCGACAATACAAATCCCATCGGTGTATGCATGCACCCACCCCTTACCGTTACCCCTTACCGTTGAGTCGTCCGAGCACGAGGCGAACTTGGAGTCCGTGGGTCCGAAGCTGAGTCCTCTGATTGGATTGGCACCATGTGCGATAAAGTGCTGTACCGCCGTCATTGAGGGCTGACATGACAGGGGCACCAAGCCACAACCAGAAGGAAAAAAAAGTGTGAAAACAACGTGCGGTAGAATAGACAGAACAAGGTTGGAATGACTGTGTTAGTGCGTGCACGATCGTCGATACGTAAGGCCTTCCGCCTGACTGTGCAGGGATGTGGACAGCATTGCTGTATGGAAGGAGTGGTTCAGGGTAGAGAACATGGAAAAATACAAAAAAAATGTTTGACAGCCTCGCCCTCTTATTGGCTGGTAAAGCTTTCACGTCCGACAAGAACTACCGCAGTGGTATGCTATGCTACATTAGTTAAGTAAGCTTCCAACCTGGATTCAACCGAAGGAAAGGCGGGTGGCAGTGAACAGGAGTGACAAAGCCACCTCTACAGTGCCTGGCCTGACCCGAAACGTGAAGTGGTTTGCCATGCCCGTCGACGAAACAACCGACTCAAGGCTACCACTTGCCCCTGCTGGAGCAATCACTCAATACCCGTGCTAGACTTAGGCGGAGGGAGCAGCTTGACGTATTCCGACCTGCCAGTACTTGATGTTCCCGTTGTGGTCTCCGGAGATCAGAGTGTTCCCAGAGTGACTCCACGCCATGGAGCGGACGGCACTGGAATGAGCCTTCGGAGCACATCATTGTAGAGCGCACAATCGGGCCAGCAAGGAGGGCAACAGGCGGAGATAAGCCGACACGTAAACAGCAAAATCAACGAAGACTCAGTGTATGCTTGGTAGTTTCTTAAGCTGTTCCGTCCAGCTCGATACCCGAACTACACCTTCGTGAAACCTTCGGGGACGAAACAAAACAAGGAAAAACACAGGCTATCCCTGTCCGGAGACCCCGTGATAATAGCAGCGGAAGTGGGGATAGGTGGGTATATGGACGGCTCTCTGCTATCCGACGTCCTCGACTACCGCCTGCATAGCAGGTGAAGCGGAAAATTCCTCTTAGGGAATAGTAAATAGAGCGCCCTTTGTCCTTCATTGGAACGGACGTCTTGAAAGACCTTGAGAGCGACCGCTGATCAAATTGAAAGAGCCGTGCGTGTACAGAAGGAAAATCTCGGGTGGTACACAAAGGCAACCACAAAAAATGAAGGTCAAGAGTTGGCACGACCGCTGCGTGCATCTAGCCAACACACAACCTTACGAGCCACACTGCTGTGTACAAACTAACCCACGACTCCGATGGCAGAGGTCCTCTACCATCGCACCTGCAGAATGGTGACGAAATTGAAAGATCCGTCCTTCCAAAGAGTGAACTCGCCGCTAGAATTTCCGGTGATGCACCGCGTCACTCCCGCCGGCGCCCACGCCAGGCAGAACACCGGACAGCGCTGCTTGTTGGTCGAGGTTTTCACCCACTGCGGTGGAGTGTATTTCGTTAGGGGGAGGGCGGGGGTTACGAAGGTAGAGTCTTCCATGCGATAACCGTGGGTAACCCGTCCAGGTAGGGCATGTGACTGGGTTTGGCACTTGCTCCGACAGAGTTCGAACACGGCGAAGACAAGTGCAGACAGCATTGACAGCAAGACAGTTCCAGATGTCTGGCGGCGTATTGTAATGGGCATGGGGCTGACGAAAACAGCATCCGGCGGCCGTAGAGCTACAACTTTGACTTTGCTACAGCAATAAAGTTCTGTTTTGTCTACGTCTCTTGCCTGTGTGCACACAGCAGCCATGAGAACATTCTGCAACACAACAACAACAACAACAACAAACAACAAACAACAAGTCTTTCTCCATCTCTACCCTGCGTGCAGACGCCAGAGGCTGGGTTGCAAGGCAACAACCATGATAACAACTACAGCATACACCAACACCAACACCACCTCCAACGCAATCACAACAAGTCGTTTCTCGCTCCATCTCTGACCTGCGTGCAGATGCCAGAGGCCGGGTTTGATGCGATCACCGCCGGCGGGACCATCCTCCTCGCATAAGACGAGTGCGGCTGGACGCTCCAGGCCAGCCCTCCGGTCCCGATCGGAGGATCCCCCCCGGCCGTGGGGACGTAGGCCCGGTTGATGATGTGGTGCATGATGCTGCCGGCGATGTCCACGCATCGGCGTGGGGCCTGCGCCCGCATGCGTCGCTCTTCCTCCCCCCACTGCCTGAGGGCACATGCACGCGTAGGGACGGGGGGGGATAATGGGGATGAAAAACAGCACGCCACTGGTGTGGTAAACGGTTTGCGTGTTTTTCTATTTGTTGGACGTGAACGGGTACTGCTGTTGGGAGCGGGGGCAGTGGAGGTCAAGGGTGTCCTTGAGCATGGTACAGCTGTACTACCTTGCGCGTAGCAAGAGCTGAACGGGGCATTGGATGCGGTGTGCTGTAGGGCACTCTTTGCGAGCCTCGGTAGGAGAAATTGTTGCAGGACGGTAGAGCTGGGGGTACTGCCACCGCTCACTCATCTTATCTCAGCCTACCAGCTACAAGCGGGGTGATTGACTGCTGTAGTATTTCGGGCCAACCTTTCAGCCGCCGCCGCCGCCGCCGCCACCGAACGCAAGAATCGTTGCACTTCTTTGCCCTGCATCTTCCCAAATGCAATTCGCCAACACCAGTCTAGCCTGTTCCACCAGCGCACTCGACACCCGCTCTGTGGACGACATTCAGGCAACATGTCTACATCTGTGTACGTTGCTCAACGGCCCCGGACACATCCGACGCTTATTGCGCCGCGTTTCTGTGTTTAGGGTCGTGAGCATGCTGCCCTGAACAGGCGCGGGGTGTGCTCCCTTACTGATGTGCGAAGAACTGCGTGGAATTGCACATGCACCACCGGATGCCCTACCATATCTACGGGATATTGCACCCTGTAATGGTATCAGCCGCGTGCCGCTTTCCCAACCGGAGCCTGACATGATGAAGTGCTGCTGCTACAGCAGACACACATCTCTGCAACGGCAGCCGTCCTGTTGCCATTTTGGTGATCTCGACACCGACTACATTTACCAGTGCAAGGCCAGCACCGACTAACTCAACCAGCAGCTGACTACTGAATATTTTAGGGAGGTGTTGCATTCTGACCGAGAAACCAAGCTGCAGTAGCTGTGGGTGTAGACGCCAGAGGCACAAACACACCAACTCGCAACATGCTACAAATACCAACACACCTTTCGCCTCTCCCACCTCCGCCTCCAAACCCGCCTCGATCGTAGAATCCTCCGCCACCATAACCCCCTCCACGACCACCACCACCCCATCGACCACCATGGGATGGCGGAGCAGCCATCACCTATCGTCGTAGAGTACAAAGTGACAATCTGTAGGCAGCAAGCTGCTCTGAGAGTGTGCAGCAGCGAGTTTGGGGTGTTCCTTGACGTTCAGAAGGCGTTATGCCTGGGTGGGGGCGGTCATCCAAAAGGGGAGCGGTGGAGCGGTGGCATTGGCGGTGGTGCAGGTGGTGTGCTGAACTCGAGAGCTCTTGGCGTGCACGCAGTGAGTAGTGTTGCAACATAGTCTACACAGCAACACCTGCGCCTGCTTGGTGTAGCCCGAGTTGCTCACGTTTTTTGTTAGCACGGATGTGTCGCGTGAGCAGCATTGTATGCGTAGGCGCCCGCTTGCTTTGGCGGCGCAACAGGAAGAACATGTATCGGGCGGTTTGGGGGTAATTCTCCAATCATGTTTTGCGATATATAAAAACCCAAAAACAATTAATTAATTAAATCAAACACCCCCATATATACAAATATATGGATATATACAAATATATGGGGGTGTTTGATTTAATTAATTGTTTTGGGTTTGGGGAGTACATATTGAGCTCGGACGATCAACCTATCTCGAGCGTTATCTCCTGGGTAGTGATACTGCTCGCTACTCATCGGTGCGAGTTGCACAGCGCTGTACACGGAACCACAAGATTCGTCGCCCATTACTCAAAACGAAACATATTTCCCGTGTGCAGGCCTGGCCTGCTGCAACGGTGCCGAAATCAAGTGGCCTACAGCCTACAGCAGTGGTGTGTCGCACAGCGTACAGCTCGTGGCGTGCCCTCGTTGTGTCACAATTTTGATGTGTTACGCTTCGCACGCCCTGCTCGAAAGTTACGTGTACATGTTTTTCTCACAGAGTGAGCGATGGACCAGCTGCATGTTCCATGCAACTTGGAAAACATCTTCCTGTCCCTTCAGCTTAGACACGAGCAAACGGTTCATGACGTGCCCCTCTCAGCTTGCGGCACAGCCATTTCCGCCCTTTTTCTACTGGATGTCCACTGATCAATCAGTGAAACGTGCACATTCCCTAAAAAAACGGGGAGGGGAGACGCCCCCTTCCGTGCGCGATGAAAAACAGCGCCTCCCGTCCTTCCAACTTGTAGTTTCTCACTGAATTACAAACCTGCCTACAACAAGAGGCTAGTGGCCATCCAAGTGGAAGCGTGCCATGCAAAATCAACACCCCAACACTACACGCTTCCACCCACCCACGCTTAAAACCAACCACTGCACCCAAATGGAGTAGCCGTACATGTAGCCATAGCACCCAAGTGTCAATCCGCGCAAAGCCCAATGCTACATGTGCACCCGCCAAAAATACGAAAAGAAATAAATGTAATCCCTCCGCATGAAAAAAACAAAACGTGCGAAGAAAAAAATATTCATACCACGGTGTACACCGTAGGTGACGGTGGGGGGTTATGCCACGATAGGCACCATCCCCGCCGAGCTAAAAGCGCACCTGAAAGCTCATATAGAAAGGCAAATGGAAATCGAGGAACGTGACAGACACCCGACCCCTTCCAACAAACACCAGCCCGGGCGCTTGTTGGGAGAGGCCGAAATATTGTCACCAGGGGGGCGCAACCTGCTACGCGTCACCATCGTATGCAGAAAAAAACATGCCCGTTTCGCGGCATACGGTACCGCCCGCCGAGAACCCTACTCCGGCTCGACGCGCCCTGGACGCGGGAGAGGGGCGCTGAATCCCAACAACAGATCTTCACACCACGATAACCTCGAGCAAAAGGCAAGCTGTTGGGTAATATCGCCAGCCTCGCTCCGGTAGGGCAAGCTGGTCAAAAACAAATCGTCCTGGGGGGAGTTACAGCATGTTCCGCGGCGTTTTCCGGGTCCAGTTCACTATTTAGTTCTCGGTTTCGGGCGTTTCTGCCTTCATGGCTTCGTCGTAGGCAGGCGCCTCATCTGCTGGTGATTCCTCTTGTAGCAGCTCTCCGCAATCTACGATGACGACGTCATCGTTCGGCTTGTCGGCGGTGGTCGCTACGTTCTCGATCTCCTTCACGACCTCCATGCCTGGGGCCGACAACCCATCACGCGAACGGGCGAGGGGGGTACAGATTATCGTTGTTGTCACACTGCATTGGTGTTAAACGGTTGCCCACTTCAATAGACTCAATAGCCAAAAATAAAAATGCACACGCGTGCGCACAAATATTTGCGGCGCACAACGAAGGTAAAGAATAAAAAAGAACCTCTTGCACAACTATTGTACTGTCTTGCCAATAAGGCGTCCCTTGAAGTCAAGAGCACTTCACACGAACCAAGAGCGTATGCATACAACACAACAGCACATCGTGGAGCATAACACAACGACAGAGCAAAGCAGGCCGCATGGCTGCCCTGGTGGGAAACAAACACATTTGTATGAACACAACTTTTGGTTGCGCATCAACGATGTGCCGGTTTTGCGTGGAATGACCGCACTGCACACAAACACACGCCGGATCCGTCGAAAACGTGCTCCCTCACACCTTCCCCTCCGTCTCCGTACCTGACAGAACCTTGCCGAAAACCACGTGCTTGCCGTCAAGGTGGGGCGTGTCACGGCACGTGATGAACACCTACAGTACAGAGGAACACCCAGGAGACGACGTGCAAAATAATGGTGGTCGTCGTCACGTGGTCGTGTGGGGTCCGTAGCGAGGGTGTGGTGGGCGGGGGTAAAAACGCGTCAGCAGCTAGGCATGGGCTACGCTACGCCACTTGTTGCAGGCTTTTGACAAATCTAGAAGATGACGTGCTCTTGCTGATGCCGACATGACATGTTGATCCTTCAGTACCTACGTATAATCTCAACGCGAGTCAATCGATAAGTTTCGTACATCACACGAACTGGAACGAACCGCGCGAATAATTGAGAAAACACATTCATCTACTTGGACACATAAAGACTCTTCGAGGGAAGCGAAATCGCCAACATGATACGCCATGCTCTGATGGTGCGACAATACCCTGTCCTAAGATCTACAGGAAACAAGTCAACATACACGACCGACGCACCTGAGAGCCGTTGGTGTTGGGGCCGGCGTTTGCCATCGACAGCAACCCGGGCTCCGTGTGCTTGAGCTGGAAGTTCTCGTCCTTGAACTTCTCGCCGTAGATGCTGCAGCCCCCGGTGCCGTCGCCGGCAGTGAAGTCGCCGCACTGTATAGTCGAGCAAGAAAGGTCATGTCAGCGGTTGCCTTCCAAAGAGTCCAATAATCTTTCCAACGACCATGTGCCATAACTTTACCCTCCGTATGGCGTTTATGCTTTGCGGCTTGCAAAAGGAGGTTATGGTCTGTGAACAGGCTCCGCGAGCACACCCGCCAGTTGGTGAGAGGTATCGGGAACTGCTCAATACGAAACAACATGAGGATATTCGGCTGGCGAATAAACTTGAAGGCGATTATCGACAGTGGAGGTCGTCATGGGCACGAGACTGAAAGGGCCTAAGCTGTTTGGTTGGGAACAACCGCTGTGATTAAACCCACCCGGAATCGAGACAGTCATCGAGATATGAGCAACTCTGTGAAACCAAAAAAGGTAAAGCCAGATCTAACAACCGTCATCTCACCCTCCGATCGCATTCGACTCAAGTGCTGCTGCTGCTGATGGCATGACAAGAGGGCTTCTAGAGGCTCTTATCGCGACGAAATCCAAGGTATTCACCACAGACAGGACATGTCGAGGGCTTCGGAGATCGAACTAGGTTTGTGTGACCCCTGCACTACCAGAGAGAGGATGAGGAGAGAGCGGGTATACTTGACTGGCGCACAACACCGCGACAGAGAATCGAAAACAATGTATGTTGTCTGTGGAAAACACACATATTATGTATTTTCATAAGAAAAAAAAAAAATGACACAACGTTGTAGTGCCTCTTCCTTTCCCCACCTGAAGCATGAAGTTCTTGATGACGCGGTGGAATTTGCTGCCCTTGTAGTGCAACGGGACGCCATCGGGGGTGGTTCCCTTGTCGCCCTTGCAAAGGTGGAGGAAGTTTGCGCTCGTCTTCGGGCACGTGTTCGCGTACAGCTCGAACGAGATGCGCTGAGGCTCCTTGTCTCCCACCTGACGATAAGAACCAGGCAACACGCACTACGTTGTTTAACGAGTAGACTCGAATAAAGGTGACTTGTCGAATACTATAGGCAATACCATGGCACGTGCCGAGGCATATGTGTGGGTGCTTGTTCATATTATACTACACGTGTAAGAGGCCGTGCAGGAGGCAAGCACATCAACAAGAGGGACCAAGCAACAGGTCAAACCGAAACCTCGCACACGAGCGAAGAGGGGAAGAGCAAACGGTAATGACTGTACCGACCCAGACTATATTTCTGTATTATAGCCGCACATGCGACCATCCCAGCTTCTACCAGAGCGATCAATTTACGGGAACAACCCTTAGACGCTTTGAACACACGGTAAACCTTTGTTTAGTCCTGTTTCTGACTAGTTCGTCGGGTCTGTTGTTTTCAAACAAATAGCCATTCTGACCTGCATTCGGCTAATCATCTTCCCCGGTCTTCAAGAGCGAGTTCTACCGAAAAAAAAAAAACGACCTAGCAGAGTAGCTTCCAACAGACACGAACAAACTAGAATGTTCTACCGTAGCAAGGCATGCTACCATTGGCTGTACATACCGTGATGTCGAAGAAGCACTTGGGGTTGGTGCCGTCGAAGACAACAACCCCTTCCTTGTCGTCGTACATGCTGACCTTGCCAAACAGACCGCCAAACACTGACTTCGCCTTCTCCTTGGACTCCTTCATCGCAGCCTGGGCGGGGCAGAGGGCCGTCGGGGAACAGAGACCGGGTTATGGAGGACATAAACCGCGGCTTCGCGAACGTTGCAAACCGAGACCTTACGGCTTTGTGGATGGAAAAAGAGAAAACACGGACACCATGGCTTTGTTGGGTAGCACCTGAGGTTTCAGGAAGCGTGTCTACAGTTGTACTCTCTCGTTGTGCTCATCCGATTTGGTCATGGGCTCCGGTGTTTCATGTTGGAACCAACAAACTCATCGCAACCCTACCAAAGGGAAGGTAGTTGAAACAGATATAGCCATGTAACCCAACTCAGTGGTACAGGTTCTGGCGATGCAAGGACGGATTGCTTCCGTGGCAAAATCTGGAGGGCTCACGTGCATCGAGGCGATGTCCAATCGACAACACCAGAGACAGAGACAAGGACAGAGAAAAAAAGTCACTGACACAGAGAGAAACAGGAAGAAGAAGACAGACAAAGAGAATAGAGAACGGAGAGAGGTTGAAGACAAGAGAACAACAAAACATGTATCGAACGAAGTGAGCGCAACAAGGAGGACTAATCTAGCCTTGTTCCATGGCACTCGCCTTGAGCAGTTGAAGCTCCTTCCTGACCGCCTTGTTGTTGGGGTCAAGCTTGTAGGCCGCCATGAGGTCGCTCTTGCTTTCATCCACCATGCCGGTGTGTCTCCTGCACATCGCACCAGATCGGATACATGCACATGAAAACCAAATCCAAGAAGCAGAGTCGCTGGGAAAACAGGGGCCTTAACAAAACGCTGCGGACATCACCCGTTCTCAAAAATGCCCTCACATCTCTGTTCCACAACTTCGATCCCAACACAGCGTGTGGAAGAAAACGTTGCTGCAACACCCCGAAAAAAAATAGCACCACGACTTGGGTATGTTCCATTCTACGAAACGATCTACGCAACGACGACTCCCCGAGAAGGATAATTGAGCTCCCAAACAATGATGCCCTCCACCTACAAAATCCCTACTTGTCTGTGTGGCCACACTTTTAGCACTTCTTTCAAAAAGACAACGCAAGAACAAACAACGGATCTGTCAGCACATCGTACCTCCACCAGGCGCGACTCTCCTGCACAAAACTCCGACTCACGCACCCCCCCCCCCCCCCTTCCCATACGGCAAAGCGCGGCGATCGGGAAAAAAAACGTCCGCAGGCCGCACACACCCACGGCACTCACTTGGCGACCCCTCTGCGGTAGAGCGCCTTGACGTTGTCGGGGTCCTTGCCAAGCGCGGAGGTGGCGTGCGCGATGGCGTCGCCCCACTCCTTGCCGTTCAGGCAGGCTTGGGCAGCGTTCAGGAAGCACGAGAGCTGTAGGCCGCAAAAAGGTCCGGGGAGGGGCAAAGAGTTTAATCGTACATGACCATGGTCAAACAACCGAGTTTCGACAGGACGGGATTTACAGCTAATGTAGACTAGTGACTGCCAAACCGAGACACTGGTTTGTAGAAGAGAGCATCTAGGTCACAAGGACAGGCGAAGGCCGCACGCACACCTGCGGAGTGTTTCCGCAAAGGGTCAAATGTTTTGTGACGCGTACATTTGCTATGATAGGCAGGGGGGCACGGCGAGCGGGCGCACGCTGGGGCGGGCAAACCTCCGGGGGTCGCGCCGATAGATACGGCAATAAATGGGATTACAGCGTCATCGCGGACATCGCGGAACGTTTTCAAGAAGAACAAAACTTCGTTACTACAAAAAGCTTGAACCCTACATTCCCATAATCAGAACGGGAGTGGTGTCAATAGATGATGCCAAATAACGAACTACATCGATATCCCACCTCCAGAGCAACGGCGGCCGCCTCTTCCTCTCCCCCCGGGTCAGTCTTCTCGGGTACGGCGGAGGCGGTATCCGCCGCTGCGACGTAACGCTCCGTGGCCTCGAAGAATCGCTTCTCCTTGAAAAACGCCGTCCCTTCCTCCTGCGGCGGAATAGAGTCGCAACCGGGTGGTACGCAGCACGGGAGTCGTTACAACGCCATACGCATACGAGGGAGTCCAAACGGACAGGGGACGTTTTCTACGAGCCGATCCGATGTGCGTCCTGGATTCTGGTTGCCGGGTACTGCTGTACCTCGTGAGACCGCATGACGGGTACCGTCACTTGTGGTGGGCAACCGAAATGGTGGTGATAACACAGCTTGCGGGTAACGCAAGGTCACCGCGCAACGGCGCTGTGCATGATGCACAGAAGCGTACCTCGGGCAGCTCGTGAGGTATCGCGTCTAGCTCGACCCCCCCCTCCCCCCCGCTCCCCCCCCCATAGTTTCGCACCATACAGTACATGCACGGCCAAACGAGCTGCCCAAAGGCAGTCCGTGCAGCGATGCCTCATGCACCTCCAAAAACATTTCCTAGTTCAGAACCGTCTATTGTGGTCGGATTGGATCCTGATCTGCCTGGGTGCAAAACAACACATCCAATCTACCTTGATCTTCAGGGCCTCTTCCATGAGCTCCGCGGCGGACATCTCCCATTTCTCCTTCGGCTTCTCGTGAAAGCCCAGCAGCTCGACGTCAAACAGCAAGGTGTCTCCCGGCTTAATCACGCCGCTGCCCTGCAACACCAACGGAGCACGTGCACACCGCAACAAGAACTCGTCAAACGGGCAGGGAGTAGGCCACACGGCCGCGAGCACAACGATCACGGCGATCGATCACAGCAGTGCTCGTGTCCAACAAGTCAGATGATGTGCTGTGGTGGTCGAGCATACAGTTCACGCCATAGACACATACAGCAGTAGCGGAACAAACGAGCCACCACACGATCAACGTGAGAAGAAGCTCTGTTGACGCTATACTCACCGAGAAGCACCGCTGACCGTGCGTGACATAATAACCACACCCCCAGGACAAATGCGCTAGATTATTCTGCTACACAACAGCAGAGTAGAGCATGATCTGAGAGGTATTCAAGCTGAAACACGTTTCGATTTCAAAGGGGAGAAAAGCCGTCAAAACGGACGTCATGGGAATGTCGTGCTCGACAAGCATTTTCTGGGAGTGTGGTGTCTTGTGTGACGGTGCATGATCGTGTCAGAGAGCGGGTTGCTGGGCCAGCTCCGCAACTCCACGTGCACAATCGAAACAAAACGCACAGCCCACACACGCCAAGAACGACATGGAGAGCCTCGTAAGGAAACTGACGGAATCTGATTGGTTCATGAATGGGAACAACACGACTCGTTTTCTACCGGTAACTCACCGGGGGGCTGTCCCCATAGGCATAGTCGGCGCGGCACTTCAGAATCGCCTTCTCCCCGATGGTCATGCTAGAGAAGCCTGGAGGGATGACAAGACCGCCAAACAAAACACGGGTGTTCGCAGATTGTGTTGGAATAGGTAGGTATACCCACAGCACACCTGTGGCGGGTGTTACTGAGGTGGTGAATGACTGCACTTCTCGCACAGAGGTCGAAAAAAGAAGCAACAGACTTCAACAATCGAGTGTGCCTCTTTTGATGCCAGCCGAGAAACGAACAGAGGCTTCGTTGTTAGCCTTGAACAATAAAGGCTTCCCAACGCAGAACCACACCAACTTCGCTAGTGACTCTTTGCAATCTAAACCTCTGTCCTGTGCTATATTTTGTGGGTCCTTCCGTTCCTGTATCCTGTCTCTATCCCCCTGGATCTCTGCCCCTCCGCCCTTTTCTATCTCCCTGTCTCTGTCTGTCTCTCTCTGTCTGCCTGTCTGTCTGTGTGTCTCTCTCTCTCTATCGTGCAACATTGACGAATGTTCTCACATCTTCCATCTCTCATGTGCTGTAGCCGAGAGCCAATCCCACCAACACCAAGGTCAACAGCGACGGCTTCCCGATACCCGAACGTCACAAGAGCTGGTCTCTGTGCTAACACGACACTCGTCGGTGCCGTGGACCGTAAACATCAATCGAATGATAAAAAAGAAACTGCTCCAAATCTGAAAAGGCCATCACGTATCATCCAACAGAACTGCTGAGCAAACATTACCGTACTTACCAATATCCCAGGCCTTGATCACGGAGCCCATTCCGATTTGAAAGGTGAAGGGCTTTCCCCTGTTCGAAGCCAAGATGGTGGTTCGAGAGGATCTTTAGAACAGGGCGGGGGGAGGCTACAAAGGGGGGGGTCTAATTGATCGTGGGATTCACTATTTGTTATTTCACCTTCCAACGTCGCCGCAATCAATTGGATCACTTCCGCACGAACTCAATACGAGCAACTCCCGAGGATCGTCGATTTCTCTACAGGCGCGACGACATTTTTTCTCTGCACGATACCTCAGAGAATCAGCAGGGATCCATCCTAACACCTGCTACGCCTGTGTGTCGCGCAGAGGTCTGAGCTGTAGTAGGAATCCAGGCTCCAAAGAAGGGTTCAAGCCAGGAGCTATCGCGCATACAACTAGTGGGTACGATGGCAGGCATGTCGTGTTCCCGCGAAAAAAATGTATGGACTCGCCCACACCCCCAACAGAAATGCCACCAAGCGTCCCAAGCACAAAGAGGCGCTAGATCCAACAATAGCTAGTAGAACACCCACAAGATTGTGTCCACAACGCCCCCAAGGCAGACGTCATGAAGACAAACCTGCAGGGAGGAGTGCACACCGCACCAGTATGGCGCGTCTTCGGCAACAAGAAGACCCTTATCCTAGGGCATGCCTCGTACCTTGGAACGTCCGCGCTCGAGCGCGGACGTTTGGAACATCCCCGGAGTGTTGTCTTTGTCAATGATTCGCAGACATCCAGGATGTCTTCACTACCGAACGGCTGCTTCTTACTGTGTGTCCCGTCGCCGTGCTATAATAGTGCTATCAAAAACATGAGCGCATCCTATCCTCTTCCTGTTCGGGGATCAAAGGCAGTAGGACAGACAGCAGGCTCGTTTACCTGTCTCGTGAAGAGTCGAACTTTTCGCCGCTCTCGATGGTACCCGTGTAGTGGGCAGACACCTCATACTCCGGGGGAGGGTTGCCGCGCTCATCATCACCAGTCTCCAGGATCTGTTTAGCGCGGCGGCGGCGGCGGGGTAGAACCAGAGCGGCGCCGGGTTAAGAGCAAGGGTTGCGTAGCAAGAGAGCGCGTGTTCGCCATGCGCATCAAGCACGGACTCAGTGAGCGACTTACAGCATCTTGCGTTCTTCACCCAAGTACATGGCAGCAGTGCTGGCGTAAAGGGAGAGCCGCCGTGAGGTAGCGACCAGCCTTGGGCAATGTTGTAGGATACAGTATCTCCGTCGCAAAAAAATCAGGGGGGGGGGAGCATGGCCGGTGCGTGGCACATGTTGTTCCGTCGACAGCTCACGATAGGTGGGGAACGCGCGCTAACGGTTTGACACTTCTTCCTGTCGGCAATTCACGAATTCTACAGGGCTTCCTCGGTGAAACTACCACAAGCAAAATTGTAGCTCTCGGAGATCAGCAACGGTACATTCTCGAAGAGGGTTCTCTCCACTGTCTAGCTGCTGCCACGGGGCACACACACGGGCACAGACCCAAAAGACGCATGTATGCCTATTTTCGGGATTCACAAGAATTCGACATGTTGCAGTCGGTCATAGTCGGTAGCTCATAGTTCCTCGCCCAACAACGCTTGAGTCGCCGCGGGACAGCACCCGTTACAGAACCACCCCCCCACTTCTGCTGCTGTTGCCGTTGCACAGCTGCAGGACTGTGTATACGTACATTTCCTGAGGGATGAGGGTCTATCCTGTAGTGCTTGGGAACGGTGCCACTGGTAATTGTCCAAAAATACTGTTCAACATGCAACAACAGCCTGAGAGACATTAAACCTCCCATAAATTTACGCGCTTAGTCAAAAAGGTTGAGCAGAACTCATTTGTTCAGTTTTTTTTCTTCAAGAGTGGGGTTAAATAACGGCTGGGATACATTCGTATCTTCCCAAAACCATCAGCGTATGGTCTGCACCCGTAGGTTTTACGTGTCTGAGGCTCCTGGGCCCTGCGGTCATGGCGTGTGTTCCTACACCGGCAAACATCTCCTTTTTTTTCGTCTTCTGCCCCCCGTCTCTCCTATGCGTCCCGTACGGCTAGCACCCACGCACGCCACCCAGCTGCACACGCACTATGCAGATACACAACATAGCTGACACCCCACGAACAACTATTCGGGTACCGCGCGCTGGAGCATGACATAGGCTGACCATGTGCTCTTCGACACCCGCGGCGGGAGAGGGAAGTAGGCAGGGCCAAAAGACTGGAGGAGCGGGTTGGTAGGTCTGAGGTGGAAACCAGGGTGGTGAGCAGGGTTTGCTGTGTACGGCAGCCCATGTGCAATATGTTTAGCTCCTTCTCGGAACACCCCGTGGTCCAAGAGACCCCGCTTTCCCTTCGTACGAGCTCCGAGCTGCGATCGTATTGATCGCGGCGTGGCTGGCGAAGTGCGGACGGGAGGGGCACCAGGTCGGGAATGATGGCAAACATCCCTTCCTGCTTCCTCCTCCGCGCCTGCATGCATACTTCTCGTTGCCTCACTTTTGGTGCAATCAACAATCAATCTGGTGATCGACAGCTGCTGTTTCTTGGCCGTGTACAGGATATGTTTTTCTCTAATGTTAAAATCGACAGCTGTTACTTGGCCGTGCACGGAACAAGGTACCTGGTGACCTGCGGGTAGGTTAGGTGTACACACTTGCTACGATGGTTTTTCTCCAATGTTAAATCGACACATGTTACTTGGCCGTGCACATGATATGTTTTTCTCTAATGTTAAAATCGACAGCTGTTACTTGGCCGTGCACGGAACAAGGTACTTGGTGACCTGCGGGTAGGTTAGGTGTACACACTTGCCACGATGGTTTTTCTCCAATGTTAAATCGACAGCTGTTACTTGGCCGTGCACGGGACAAGGTACCTGGTGACCCGCGGGTAGGTTTACACACTTGCTACGATGGTTTACTCTAATGCTAATCGGCTGGTTGTTCTTCCAGCCTGCTGTGTGAAGATCACGTCTTCACTTGACACCCAAGGGAAAGCAGTCGTCTCATTGGCTGCTCCCAGCAATTGTTCTGGCAGTTGCTGAGCAATTCCCTCCCATGACACGCATGTGCATAATTACATGTACACCCAACGAGGTCTTCAACATGGCCGGTACACCGTACACCGCCATACTTATTAATACGCGGATATGCATATAGATCACGCAACGGTCGAAAAAAAGACCTTCCGCCGCCAAAACTAGTAAAATCGTGGTACTGCTGTATACCACGTAGTTGTAGGGGGTCGTCCCCAAGTCGGCCTCGCTGGTCCGTACAACTGCGCGCCACGCTCGAACATCAACTCTTTGCTACCTTGAACAGAACTACCACCTTCACAAACGGACCAGACTGCAGAGCCTCTTGAGCCTCTTGAGCCTCTTGCTCGAAAAGCGCACACTCTTGACACATGTGTTCAACACCGAGATGCTGCGTTGCAGCATTCGGCGGTCTACAACTACGGAGAGACAGAAAGGGAAGCCTAGAGCCTAGAGCCGCTCCCTTGCGGGAAAGGCAAAGGGGCGAGGGAGGGGAGTCATAGCTCCCTGAATGCAGGGATCTGAGTATGTCTAGACAGGAACCCCTGCTTTAGTCGAAGAGAGACTCGAGTCCTCCGGACGGTCCCTCTCGTGCGATACATGTTCTTAGTGAATTAATGAACGGAATGTTTTCGCCAACAGCAGGCACAAATGCTTGCTCCTGATGTCCCTTGCAACCAGTGGGCTGGAAAAACACTTGGGGGCGACAGCTGAGAGGAGCTACCGGTACATTTGGTCTCAGGGACCTGGAGTGCGCGATCTTGGAAGCGCTCGATGGGATCTAGAAAAACGGGATCTAATCTGTAGAAGAACAGCAAAGAAGGAGCGGTGCACCCATGGTGAAGATATGCAAGGGTGAACGCGGATGCTTCGCGATCAAACCCAGCAACGAAAATCGCGTGGAAAGAGGGCCAGGGGCAGCATATTACCCTCCTGCGGAGGAGAGACAGGCAACTCTTGATTATTGTGTGCCGCCTGCTGGTGAGGGAGGCCACGCAATGGCCGCGGACAACACAATCCACACACTCCGTCGGCGCGCGTGCTGATGAAAGCCGCACCTTTTTGAGCACGCCCCCATCGCCGGACAAGTCCAGCCATGCCGTCTCCCCTTCGGCAGCGCTAGGATCCATACTTCTTCGAGTGTTCTCGGGAGAGGTGTGCGTGCAGTGGTGTGCGAGCAAGCTAAGCACCGGCAATCAATCGGAGAGCATGGCGGGAGCCAGAGCGGGGGGGGAGGGGGCTCCGCGATGACATCGGACAGAACGCGGATAATTCTGCGGGCCATCAGCAAGACGTGTGACAAGTTGGACGTGACACAGGACAGAGAACAGAGAGTGACACAGAAAAGGCGCACGTGGGACAACACGAATTGTATGCATATGCAGCATTTTCCAAGACGCACACGCGACATTTTCCAGACAAACAAGCTCGGGGCATGGGCAACTCTGTATTTAAGTATGGGCATTTACCATTTATTACCTGGAACGCCGAGCGCCGAGACGCGGGTAGTCTTTCTTTCATATGAATCCAGCTGGTGTTATTCCGTAAGACGCACACACAACATTTCCCTAATGATGCATCCATGGATACCGCGCTCTAAAACTATATGCACAGGCACGCCGGGGGTGCTATCTGTACCTCCATTGATTTGCCGGGGTCAACAATGGCGTCAAGACAAACAACACAACACTTTGGTGCACCAGCAACACAAACACATCTCGTCACGACTACTGTACGCGAGCTTCCAAAACAAAAACACATCTGTGTGTGCATCCTTCAATCTCTTTTGGACAGTTTGCAGGTTATTTGTTAGTTGGAGTGTTATTCTAGCAGCGCCCGGTGCGGCACAACAGACATGTATTCCTCGTCCGATGCTACATAGATATTTAGCCGCACATGGCGTATCTACAAAAACTCACGATCCATCCGCCTCCGCATACACACCCCGGCGATCATGGGCACCGATCACTCTAAGATGGCACCGCGTACTGCCGCAAGTGACTGGCCGATTTCTCTTTGGTGAAGGCAGCGGTACCCGACTACATTTACTCCCAAGAACAGAGTACCGCACAAGTGCAACACCGAACCACCACAATGCCTGCTTTTTGTTCTTCTCCTTTGCAAACTTGTACTTGGCGCATGAGCACAGACCCTGGCTCCAGTGGCACCAAGGCGACCAGAGCGGAAACGAAGGACAATTGGTTGTCTCTGGCCACTGTTGTGCGTAGCTCGACGCGACAAACGTTTAAAGACTCCTTCAAGAATGCCTCGAAGAAAGCAAGACCACGTCTCAACCTTCGGCTGGAGCCACATTGAGCTTCTCCAGCCCACAAGCCCTCCCCAGCCTACCTACGTGAGCTGAGCTCGATGTATGTATTCGCTCGCCCCCAGTTCGGAGTTCGGACTACACCCCGAGCACCGCAGATCCGGCGCCACAAACACCACAACAAAAAATATCGCAGAATTTGCAAGTAAATCCTTCCCTTGCCACCCCTCTGCCTTTCACGATTTTCCCGCTTGGGACCCCTTGCCCCCTCCTCTCTTTCGCGTACGTGTCACACGGAACAATCACGTCACAACAGCAACGTGCCCTCTAGGTGAAGGGGAGAAGCGAGCCAGCCTGAATCAGTCCATCCTGAAGTTGTTGGTCGGGAGCATCCCAGTGTGGGCTAGGCTAGACATCTTGTAATACTCGTTCCGAGTGAGGAACAACCACGACAGCACCGACAGGCCAAGCGACTGCGCCAGCAAGCTTCCCACTGCAACCACCTGGGCGACGATGGCGTTCGGCGGCGGAACGTTCGTGGAGGGGTCGAACGGTGGACTCGGGAAAACAACCAATATCCCAACATAGAATGGATTCAATAAATTGCACACGGGCGAGAAAATCCCAGACGACGACATCAAGAGTGAACGCGACAAACATCAATGGGCAACAACCAAGGCGGTCGATATACCGGGGGGTTGGGTGACACAAAACGGTACGCAACGGAACTGACCCCGAGGCCCCACGCTGATTGGTCAAGACAACCCCATGCCGTTTTGGGGCGGCTCAAGCGGAGAGCACCGCAACCGGGCTTCTCGGGTCGGCTTTCACCGGTTTCTGGGGCCCTGGTCACCGTTTATTGACCCCAAGAAGAACAGGGGTTACAAGTTACAAGGCATCAGCTTGCAATTTCACGGAGTAACAAAACTACAACAGCATCAGCGCAACGTACAGCAGCGAGCACAGGAGGCGTGACACCATTGCGTATGCATACTACTGGCACCGACACTTCTGTTCAGTTGTGTTTAACCCAACAAATGGCTAAGATGTGAATAGGAGAAAAGGCGTTCGTAACGCTAGCCCCCAACCCAAACCTGGTGTTACAACCAAGGTTTATATCCTCGCAAAGACGGTGTGTGTCCACCGGTCTCACCGGTTCCTGTACGTACTCCGCGCAGATCATCGCCACGAGCACCAGCACCGGCATCGCCGCGAACCACAGGCTGCCCAGCACGACCAGGCGGCCGATGAAACCCCTTCTGACCGAGTTCTGCTCGGCCTCGAAGGTCTTCAAGGCCCCCAACAGGAAAACGCCCAGCAGGGCAAGGCGCACGAGCACCAAGAAATAAGCCGGCGCGGAGTCCAGCGAGTGGGACTTCGCGTGGTGGTCATCGCTCATCCTGGATGGAAAGTCATGGTTCGAGGAAGGAGCAGGAACGAAGATGGAGGGGGGCTCTGCGTCTGGGTACCAAGATGGGGTGTGGACGCGTGAAGATCGATACACCACCGCTGTGTGTTTTCGCTATAACACGAAACACATCCACACGTCGCCAGATTTGATTCACCCCCGTGCGTTGGAAGCACATGGAGTACGCAAGCACCGGGGTAGGCAACTCAAGAGAAGACAGATGCATGAAGTATTTATCGATTTCATCAGAGATTTTGGGGAGGGGTGTTCGCACTCCGACCGCCGCGGCGGCAACAGCAGCCGCAGCAGCAGCAAAAACTTGGTTCGATAGGTACCCGCAGTTCTTATAGCGATGGAGGCAGCTTGGGCGAGGCCCGAAAGTAACTGCACAGGCAGCGTGATCTTGCTGGAGGCTATCGTACGCGACGAACAAATTCCTGCTGCACATAATACCAGTATAGTTTACGTTTGCGCGCATCTTGCCCGCTGGAAGACTCCACGGACACAAATCTTCTGTGACGGCCGCAATTCCACACGTGAAACGTCCCTGAAGAAGGGTACGTACAATAGCACGCTCAACCGCCGCGGCTTGGAACCGTTTGCCGAGCATCCTAGTAGCAGCAATGAACGACCACAACTCGTAGTTCTTACTACTGTACACGCACCGCTTCGCGCGAACACAGAACAAAGATGGCTAGCACACGGGCGAGAAACTCTCGGCGAAAAAAATTCGGATCTTGCAGAGGAATCCACCAGACCGGGAAACTATACAAAAAGACATGCACGTACCTCCCGAGGATGACGAACATGAGATGCAGGAAACCCAGGCACCCAGCCAACAGATACACGATGCTCTGCGTCGGTGTGTCGAGAGGGAGGGCGCGGTGCGAGGAAAGCGTAAGGACCGTGAGGTTTAAGGTAGACACTCCACGCCCACCTATTTAGCACGCTTGTAGATGAAGTACCATCAACAACACTCCCCAATGAAAACGTACAGGACACCCCACGTCTGCTGTGCATGGGTATCCGAACAAAAAGGCTGTTGCACACAACGGCAATACTAAAAGCACTAGTCTACAACACGAATGAACATCTTCATGCTGACATGGGTTTAAGATCGTGGTTCACCTTATCATCCGGGACGTACTTCTGCACCGCTCTCGAAGAGAGCGTCCACCCATACGCCAGCCCGACCAGAACGTAGGACACCAACAGCTGCCCGCCCCAGTGGAGCACCTCCCCCCCCACATCCAGCAGAACGTACCCAGTCCCATTGGCTGCACAACACGACACGGCAGAGCATTGGTTGGCATGATGACGTGTTCGCGAAATCACGGGAGGCCAGACAACGTGTGCACGACATCGTGAGAGGCGAGGCAGCGTACGCAGAAAATCGGGAGGTTGTAAAATGGCGGCGGGCTCTAGGGTGGGAAACTGGCCTAGTCAGACTTCACGCGTCCCAATGCGGACCAACGACAGGGCCGCGCTCTAGATTTAGAAGCCACGCGTGGCAACTGACAGCCGAAATCTCGTGTGTTCTGCTTCTTCTGGATGCTGGTGTTGTAGCTGTCTCTTGTTGATTAATTCAACGACTTTTCGCGGATCTAGCCAGTTGGCCGTTCCACCGTGCTCACAGATTCCCACAAAACACCGACGGAACTCAAATGTGTTTGTGGCTTCAAAAGGTCGTCCGGTTGGAAGGCCGCGGTGTCACGGAAACAGCCCCGACATCGGCGGAGATCAAGGGGGACCCGGTGTAACCATTAAGGGTGTGAACCATGAACATCTGATGCTGTTCCGTTAACAAAAATTGCCATTCCCATGGACAACCCAACATGACGCCCTGGTCGACCAAGCCAAAAACCAAACCCACCCGCGAAGGACCTCAGGTGCAAGGTGTGCACGAGCAGAAACACCCAGTGCATGCAGAGCGCCGCGAGCATGAACTGCAGGGTAGGGTGCATCCCCCCGCCTTCCCTCCTACGCTTCACGAACAGGTTACCGATGATGGCGGCCGCTGCCGTGAACGCCATGAGCATCAAGGGGATGACCTTGGTGGTTAGCTTGTCCTCGTATGAGATATGGGAGCCCCCTTGCTGCGTAAAGGAGGCTGACATCTGCACCACATTGAGAGGTACGCAGGGAACGGCGTCTGTTGAGCAAATGATGCAGCTTGTCAATGCACGTACGTAAAAGTATGGCACGCTTCAAGCGTAGTGAGACGAGATCAAAGCTGAAGGTACCAGACTTAGATCACGTCGAGAATGCTGCTATCGGGGCGACACACAACACGACAAACGTATGTACACGTATACGCAGTAAGATGCCACCGCAGTCGATTGTAACCCAGTATTTCCTGATCTCGGACACACAGTCATTATCCACCTGGAGAGCAAGGTTTGCCACTATTGATACGGCTCAAACCGTGAAAGAAGAAAAGACATAACAGACCACGCCTCATGTACAGAACTCGATCTCTCGCCACAACACTTTGTCATACCGTAATAAACCACCTATGAAGATCTACAAGAAACAAAAAAAAACGCACCTCTATTCTCGTGCGCTTCGGAGGGCTGCCTCGTGCATTGCAGTGAGACACCACCAGGTACCAGTTGTGCGGTCGGACATTCTGCGCAAGCACGAGCGGCGTGGAACAGGAGGGGGCGGCAGTAACCATGCCGCTTCAGGTTGCAATAAAGGTTGGTCCCTACTCGGAAACCTCTGCAAAGCACCCAGGGTCTCCAACACCACAACACCCTGGCCGGAACATGCAGAGAAATATCGGTGCTGGATCCCTGAGTCTCCAACATGTGCTTGTGTACAGAGGGTTTTCGGCGCGGGCCACCGGCCAAAATGAGCCGTTCTAAGGCAAATGTTACTCTGTTGAGCCGCTAAACGCGAGTGTTTTGAGATGTAAGGCAGACAGGCGGAAAGACACGATTCGGAGGTGCGCTGTTTGAGCTTGTGAGAAGGGCTGAGAGGCCTAAGTAATGCTGCTAGTGCTTCGCGCCAACGCCCAAATCGAGTTCTTCCAACGTAAAGGACAGCTGAGTTTGGATGTGCGTGAGAAAGAGAGGAATAGAGAGAGAGACAGAGAGAGAGAGAGAAAACGAGAGATGGAGATAGATATAGATATAGATAGAGACATAGAGAGAGAGATACAGATGGACAGACAGACAGACGGCGGCGGGACGACTACTCGACACAAGTCGGATTTCCGGGAAGAAAATAAGAGGAAATTTACGCTGAGCTGTCAGGGCTCCAGGCAAAATACTCCCGCAGCAAAGTTAGGCCTTGTACAAATCTGTTCGGGTGTGTGTACAGTATCCGTCCTGTGGTTGCCTGGCTACGTACGGGGTACACTGCATAGACCTTGGAAGACAGGCCTGTTTCTCGTATTCAGCCGAAACATCAGAGGACCTCCACCTTCACCGATTCGGCGCTTGATGGCTGCGGAAGCATGCAATCCGTTGTGTTCATGCACACATAGCATGAACAGGTGAATCTACATTATTGAACGTTGTCATGATCATGTAGTGTATGGTCTTGTACGATGAAAAACGATACTATTCGCATTGGTATTTTGTTTTTTGTTGCTGAGATCGATGTCCCAGGGAGGAAAAAATCTAGTATATTAGATGAGTCCTTTCACTCACTCGTTCGTACCTTTTTAGGGTAAGTAAGCCTGCGACCACGCGAATCGACCGCGTCAAGTGTTGGATCAGTACGGACATATGAAGGTTGGGTAGAGAGAGATCGAAACGGTTTTTAATGTGAAGACAACAACAACAACAACAACCAACGTAACTTATGCTCCATCTAGAGGGAAGGTCTGGATGCCTGAATGCAAAACTTGTGTAAAGTTCCAAGAGGGAAGACTTCTGTTGTTAACGTAATACAACCCATCCATCTATCCTCTATCCGCGTATTTCGTTCTATTGGTTTTAGTTCTAATACAATACTGCTGTATCGAATTATCGCGGATGGACTGACCAATCCGGGTCCTCTTCATGTCCCTATGATTGATTATTTGTGTGCCTTGTTGGTCTGTGACCGCGGAAGGCGGCTGCTTCCGTCGGACCGGTGCGTGTGTTCGCAGGTACTGAGCCGCGACCTGAAGACAACGTTCACGAGAAGTATCTAGCATACGGCTGCCATCTATCGTACTGCTGTGGTGAAAAGTGATTCACAAAGGCAGCAGCAGCGGGGCTGGCGAGCTGATCTTGCACAATGTGAAGACGGTGTGACCGTGCAAGATAAGCACGCCAGCCCCGCTGCTGCTGCTGCTGCTGATGCTGCTGCTGATGCTGCTACTGCTGTTGCTGGACCCGGCCCCGGCTTGTTGGGAGTGGAGGCGAGGACGCAGAGAGGCGTCGGCAGTTGCAGTCAGGGCGCCGCTCTTCAAGATGCCGCCCCCACAACAAAGGAGCCAAAAGCTGAAATCAGACCGCAGATATTGGACGAGTGCCGCAGCAGCAGCAGCAGCAGCAGCTCGTGCTCCTACCCGTGTGATCCTATCTCTTGTGTCTAGCTTGTGCCGATCAAAGATAGCTCACTCGAGTGCTTACCTGTCTGATCGTGGTTCCAAACACGGCATCGCCGTCCTTGGTTGCTTCCGGTTCCAGTGGTACTAGCCACCGATTGAGCCGATCCCGCACCATACACCTCTCCTCCGCTAGGAAATCTGGCCAATCCTCGTCTAGGATAGCGATCATCTTAGTGCCCTCCGGCACGCCTCCCAGACTTCCTTGCGGGAAGGTCACATCGATCTGCGAAGTGACACACGACATGAGCGGCAGGTCGGTATTGGCCCTTCCCCACAAGTGTTAATGAAACGAAGATACCCCTCTACAGCAGTACCTCGATACCACATATGCATAGTACGACGGGCACATCCGCGGGGAAGTCAGCAAGTTGTACTAAGGACTTCTTTACGGCGCCTCGGGAAACAGGCGTACTCGACAAATGAGCCGTTTGGCATTACAGCGCGTAGTTTGACGTTCCTCGGGAAACGGAAATATGCCGTTTGCGGGCCATTCTGGTGATTGACCTTAGGCTAGGCGTCCCAAGGTCTACACGCTACCACTTTGAGTCATTCTGCTGTGCCCGAAGTGAGAGAACCCTGAGTAGCATCGCGCCAGCAGACAGAGCTTTACGAGGCAGCAGAGGGGTGGGGGTGGTCTCCTGGTCGTGCTGAACGAGCTTGTACTGCAGCCAAAACATGGTAGCGTGTCTCACCCTGCCGGTGCCAATGTCGAAAGCGAACGAAGTTAGAGCCATCCAAGGCTTTGACGCCGACAATCTTGCGCTCCCTCTCCATAACTTCGCCTCGGAGCACCAGCAGCAGCAGAAGACAACCGCTAGAAAGACCTGGTATGGACGCCTCAACGACATCATCATCATCGTCCTCCCGGGGGGGGTCGCTTCCTATCGTCTTGGCTTCGCTCTCCCTGCTGTAAAAGCCTGCAACAGCAGTAGTTCTGTAACAATCCCCTCGACAACTTGACAGAATACTTTTGTTCTCAGTCTCCGGGGGGCGCGCGCCAGCTCCTCGGTGTATCCAGACAGAGCAGAGGCAAGGAAGAGACACCTCTTGCCAAAAATAGACCTGCTGCCGGTCGATGCAAGATGCAAGAGATTGAGAGATCAGTCGAGGGGGCACGCGATGATGACAACAACATTTCGCCCCCCCGTGGTAAATCTCGACACTTGCGCTATCTCTGGGGCCTCGAAGCCCTCTCTCTCCACGAACGCCCAGACGAAAGCTCCGGCAAAAGGAACCACACACGCAAGCACGATTCCAAAGGTGAGCCCGAAAGGCCTAGTCGTAGTTTGTCGTGTGGTGTGAATGTTTCGATGCACGAGTCTCCAAACGCAATCTTCCTGGGCCCGTCGTTCTACCACCACGCCCTCGGCGAAACCCCTCCGTTTTCCACGTGATATTTTGTACTACAAACGTCGTGTGTGGGCCCCCATGGGGGGTGGGGCAAGGCAACAGCAGCAGCAGCAGCAGCAGCAGCAGACCGAGGGGAGAAAACTTTTCCAAACTGCGCCTTCACTGTGCTGGCTTTTCTCTGAACGACGGTTGTCCGACCTGTGCCGAGGAGAACCACGCGCACTGCTGTGGCCACCCTCACACAGAACGTCACCTCCACCTCGCCCCGCTTTAAAAAACCGCTCTCCCACATCTTCGAGAAGCACTTGCGCCATGTTGCCCGCTCTCCTTGGCGCCTTGTTTCCCAGGCTGGGCCTGCCGTCCGTTTTCACAGCGGCCGCAACAGGAGGTGTCAACGATGTTAGCTCAACTCTTAGGCATGGGCAGAAAGAAGGAGAAGGAGAAGGACAGCTCAAAAGACAGCAGCCACGGCACCAGCAGCACTGCTGTCACAGCAGCAGACGGCAAGCGGCGAGAGAAGGGCAGCGAGGAGCACGAGCTAGGAGTCGCTGCGGCGGACGGAGCCCTTTCACCGGGTGAGACATGTCATCATCTATAGGCATCGCAGACGCGAGATCGAAAACATCCGAGCCAAAGTCTCGCGCTTTCCACCGTTCCATGTCCGGAGATTTCGAAAACGCCCAACGATATCGCATTGGCTACTGATACATAACTGCTGTGGCCAACACAGCAGTAGTACGAGCCTGCACGCGGCAGCGGCATCCGCGACGCCAGCGTCAAAGCTGACAACGGCCGGTGTTGTGATTGGTTGGCGAGGGACAACCCCTCCGCGGGATACCTGGGGCTCCGTTTGTGATGGCTTTTTGCCCTAGTTTATGTTATTTGGAGGGAAAATAACCGTCTGACACGACCTATTGATGTATACAGCCCGCAATAGTTCCCGTTAGGATCGCTGGGACCTGTGCAAACGAACGATGCACTAAGGTGGGTACAGGTATTGCCTCTCTCGTTACCATGGTGCCGTGTCTTCTTTTGCTTTGCTCGAGTGTGAGGACAGCAGGCTGACATGACCTGGCTGCGCTCGCACCCATACACACCCCTCTTCAACTCTGTCTACCTCTACGTCCTCCTCGTTGCTGTTGCCTATATTACCCCGCAGGCACCGCCGTTGCCGCCGCCACAGCCGTAGATGTAGAAAAGGCCGCAATGGTGGGTCAAACACCGGGAGCGGCTCATTCACTCCTGCCCCCATCCGCACCCACGTTGCCGCATTACACCACACCCAACTCGCGTGCCGCAGCGGGAGGCGCCAAGGCTATCACAACAGCCGCGGTCGGCAGATGCCAAGAGGAATCGAGCCGCGAAGCAGCCGGCGTTGCTGCTACTACGGCTGCAGCCACCGGGACGGCGGCGGCGGCTGGACAGGGAGAGAGCGGTGCGTTGGTGGCTAGCGGGAGATCGCTGGCGCCCTCGCCGCCTGTGGGGCCTGCGGCGTTTGCGAGCCCGGCGGCGCCCTCGGCCTTGGTGCCGCAGCCGCTAGGACAGAAGGTGCGTCGAAGTGGCGAGTGTAGGCTTGTGCATGTTTTTCAGATCGTTACCTTACATATATATGCGTATGTCGTCTTCGTTGTACATGTATAGTTCGGCGACTGGGTGCTCCGGCTAGTATACAGCAGTACTGCTGTGTTACGGCCTGCCTGGTGTGCTTCGTCTCAAGTGGAAGCCTCAACGCGGGTATGTATGTGGCGAAGCACATTGTGGAGAGGTCTTAACATGAATGTTCACACCATATGGATCTTGTGAACGCAAGGGGTCAGGTGCTAGTTCTCTGGGTGTGTGCGAGTACGAGCGGGTGATTGGGTGGCTATTCGGGTTTCTATTGCTATTGCTACCTTTCTTTGTTTGTCCGGCACTTGTGGTGCACGCAAGCCCGAAGGCACAGAAGCACAGCCCCAGCGACGTTCCGCCTTTGCTGCGCGAGCATATGCGTGTCTGCATAGGTCGCGGTGGTCCGCGTACGTGCGTACAGCACTGCTGTCGCGTTGGTTCGGAAAAGAAGAGCGTCTACACGATGTCGTGCGGATGTTTGTTGTTTGCTCGCATTGTTGTTTATTTATGCATATCCAACACGCCTTCAAGGAGGCATGTCCGCGTCGTCTAAGTGTGTTTCATCCTCAGCATTGTACATTTTGTGCATGTTGTGTTGGCAAAGATGATTATTAATAGTAGGCGTTGTTGTTTTCTTTGTTCCGCCGCAAGGTTTTTGATTGGTGCATGATTCAATATTCCCCATTCCCTGCAGCACGGTTTTGCTCGAGCACTACGTATGCAGCAGTAGTACAATACCACATGGTGCTCCTGCGCTCAGCAGCAGTTGCCTTTCTTTTAGGGATCGATAGACTATTGTTCGCATGGCTGCTGAAGCAATGGCTACCTTTTTGGACTTGTGTTCATGCCACAACCTTGTCGGGTAGTTGGTTTGCGACCACAGAAGCCGTCCGCATCAGTAGGACCAGTACTATACTATACTATACGGGCATTGGAAAGTACTCAGCGGAGACCGGAACGGTTTTTTAGTGTCAAGACAACAACAACAGCAGCAGCAACGGAAGAGCAACCGATGAGTGTGTGGAGGAGGTGAGCAACGTAAACCGATTGGGCTCTGACGGCGTCCACATAATATCTTGTTTTGTGTTGTTCACTGAACCGTTTGGTTTGTAATGTTTTCTGGCCCGCCTTGCTTCCACCAGGCGTTTTCCAGCGAGGCGGCGGCGGTGGAGCGCGGGTTGCACATCCAGCTTGGTGACACCGGCGCGAAGACGGAATCACAGCTTGGGGGGCAGCAGTTAGAAGCGGCGAAAAGGCTGCGGCACCTGCTGAGCACAAATAGGTGATGACAGGGGGAGGGAAATGGCTACTGCCGCTGTTTGTCTCGCGTGTCGAATGAACGGCGGCGTGTATGTCCTATCTGATGTCAACGCACGCGACGCGGCGGGTGCGTTGTGATTTGTTGGGCGTGCAACGGGGGTGAGAGTTTGACCGGTGAAAAGCTAATGAGTAAGTTGCAGCGGAGATGACCATGGAGGTCCCCTTGCTGGTAAAATAGCATGACTCCGTTTCTACATTCGAGCAAGTCCGGACGGCAGCACACACTTGCTCGGTTGCCTTGACTTTCGAAATTGAATGCGCTGCTTCGAAAAGGGATTCTTCTTTCGCCTATATTAGCGTGCACTGCCGAACACTTGCGTCCCCAACAGATGTCCGCGTACTGCTGTATTTGTGTACCCCCCGCCATTAGCGGGACTATACTAACGTCTTAAATGCTTTCACCACCGGCTGCTGCCGTTTTGAGTCGTAACAGGAGCAGCGGGCCCGCTTGTCGTTAGGCCGAACTGCTGCCTGCCTTTGTATACGGATCGATCCCGTGTACTGCTGTTCGTTTCGACGATGAAACGGCGTGATGGCACACAGTAGTTGATACAATGACGCGGGGTGACGCTGATTCTCCCTCGCAACGTGGCCATAACTCACTCTTTGCTGTAACACGTGTACCCTGCTGTTGGCGCGTCTGACAACACACAGAGAGAGAATGGTCCAGGAGATGCTTAGCCGAGGCTGGGTGCCTCTGCTGCTGAGATGGTTGGGGCTTGTGCACCGGCCGAGTCTGCAGGTGGAAGCATTGTCGGCGCTGACGACCGTGGCACAGACCACGACAGAGCACACTCCTCTGCTCCTCAAGGTAAAAAAAGAGGAAAGGAACGCTACACGCGGGTGCGTTTTGTTTCCTTCTTACCAATAATCGCATCGAACTCGTCTACATGCACAGATAAAGGAGTCTCCGAGAGCGGAGCAATTGATTGGTAGTGGTCCGTGACCAACGTGTGTTTGTTGTACTACTATAGTCCCACGTTATTCTGTTTTTCGATCAGCCATAGCTCGCAGCTAGTCTGCCTGTTGGGCAGTTTTGCCTCTTCAACTGAAGAGCGCATCATCCGGAGCCGTGCCCACTACTGTAGTACTTTTGATCCCCCCGCGGTGCATGCTTCGTTTCATTGTGAATGCGAGAAAAGATTCAGCAGTTCCTTCCCGCAAGCTTGCGTTGCGGTATCTTCTTTGGCCCTGCGTGCCGCTGTGACGCTTCAGCACAAATTGATTGCCACGCTTTTTGGCAGCGTATTCTTCTCAACATGCATGTCGCACGCGCTTTGCGGTGCGCAAGCTACGTACGCTCGAAACTCTCGTTGCCACAATCGCGTTCTCCAAACAAGAAACCTTTGCCCGCGCTCGTCTTTGTGACGTCAAGATATGCACCTCATGGTGACACTCAAGCTTTTACCGTCGTGACATCTATTACGCTCGCTGTGCTCAAGAGTCGTGGCTGGGAGAAAGAGACGACGTTTTTTCACAAAATCCTCGTCCCGGCGTTGAACTAGAGCCAAGGGCGCACACCTCAAATCGCTCACACGACGGCTTACGTTCGAAACTCTTGGAACAATGAAAAAACAGCATGGAGCCGTCGGCACTCTGGTGAACTTGCTGAAAAGTCCTAGCTTGGAGATGGTGGAGCAGGCGATGTGGGTGCTAGGCAAGTTAGCGCAGGATGGACAGGACGGGACGACTGCTAGAGACGCGGTGCTTCAGGCTGGAGTCTTGGGGTGAGAAGAAAGAGCCACAAGCTCGCTTGGAAAAACAGTCTGGTTGCAATATTTTTCTTGCAGCAAGGTTGAGTGGCATAGACTTCGACGAGCATACAAATAGTCCGATAATAGGGCGAGAAGAAATAAGCGCCAACCTCGCTTATTTAACAACCCTGCTGCTACTTTTTTCTGTGGAGCCTTTTTTGTGCAGCAAGGTTACATGTGCGTGGTTTAGAAATCGTACAGATAGGAGAGGCAACATCTACGATACCTAGGATGGATACATGCACGTTTTTTGTAGTTTTTTGCAGTCCCCCTCCCCTTTTCTCACTTTTGGGCCTCGCTTGTTCCTATCTTGCTATTGGTTATAGTGTGGTCGGCGGGTGTGCGGGATGTTGTTTCCGAGGGTCCCGTTTGACGTCGGCTTAGACATTGAATGTGCGGGCTGCACTTCCTCTCTTGTCCCTCTTCTGCAAGTGATTTCGTACCTTGCATCCGTTGTTGCCACACGAACACACACACTAAGACTGACGTATTTTCATTGGTCAGCCGGTTAGCGCGGTCGATGCTAATAATAAAAGAAAACACGCTCTCACACATGCAGGCCGCTGGTGCGGTGCCTGGAGCAGCATCAGACTTTGCTCAGCCTCCAGCGTATCGGAGCGTGGTCGCTGTTTAACCTCTTGGACGGGCAGCCCCGGCCCACTGTGGATGTCGCGACAGTCAACATGGTGAGTGAGCGAGCACGATAGAAGGAAGGTACGCGGGGACTCCTGTATGGCCTTGCTTCTGTGTGGCCCCGGCTGATGCGTTCAGAAAGTACACCGAACAGTGTATTGGTAAGAAACTGACAACCCAGAAAAAGTGTGGTGCCAACACACATGAACGCATCAACTGGAATAAGTTGTGCAGACTGTTGTGGTTTGCGATATTTGGTAGACCACCGGGCATGAAGGAAACTGCTGTTGCCGGGACAGTAGCTCTTGCGATGTGACCACGAGGCGCGCTCTTTTAACCCCGAGAAGGGTTCAGCAGACCCTTCCTTCGTTGTTGTGTCATGACTACGCCCTCCTCACATGTTAGTCGCCTTTTTTTCCACGCCGGGGAGATTCCAACCCATGACGTAGAGCTATTATAGCAGGTTCACGAGGTTGCCCACCATGTCCGGAGGCGTTATAATAAGCGTGCGGCGCACTACTTCTGTGTGTATGTGCGTCCTTTCTCGCCGGTCGATTTTGACGTGACCCCTTGGATGCCATTGGGGTATTGATAGGTTCTGCCGCGCTTTGATAACCCCCGCGTGCGGGCTTGCTCCTTGATGTTTGGGTGTGAACAGGTGATGCCGGCGATCAACCGGCTGCTGATGGCGGGAGACTCTGAGGTGTTGTGTCATGCGTGCTCTGCTCTCAGCCATCTCTGCGATGGCTCCGCGGCGCACATCAAGGCAAGAAAAGAGTTGCGGCTAGGATTAGGTAATGTAGATGTGTATGCATACGGTAGGCGTCTTGAGTTGAGGGCCGCAAGGGTGTGGTGGTTGTTCGCCTCGAGGTGCTAAATCGCGGTACTACGTTGTACTACTGTACTGTTACTTTCACGTCAAAGTCGTTCCGAGCTCTGCTCGGTACCTTCCATTTTCCTTGCTGTTCCAACGGACACAGGCGCCTTCCGTGGTAACAGGCCAAGTGCCCCAAAAACGGGTACGACGGCATTCGTGAATTTGTATGCTCGACAAAGTCAAGGTGGACTCTGAGGTTGAAGCACCGCTGAAACCGACGAAATTTTGTCCGGGGCAACGCCGTACCGTGTATCCACACCGCGGAACGTCTGTTGGAGGATATAAGTATTCCAGACTGCTGTATTATGCCATGTGTGTATGTGCTTGTCTTGGGCGGTGGATGCCAATGAAAACCCGGCGATCTCAAGTGCCCAGTGCGCCACGGACGTTTCGTTCAAGTTGCGCAGGTTTCTCCAACACAAAGCAACAGCAACAAAGGGCTGAGGGTTTGTGTTGCGCGACAGCGGACACTCTCCATCACACGCGTGCCATTGACGGTGTTACGTCTGTCCTTTCTGCCCTCAGGTTGTGGTAGAGTCTGGAGTGTGCAAGCGCCTGGTGCAGCTGCTTGACCACCCCAGCTCACAGGTGGTGAAGCCTGCGCTCCGGACGATCGGGAACGTGGTCTGTGCCGAGGACGATGCGGACTACACTGAGGCTATCCTTGAGGCCGGCTCCGTCGTGTGCCTAAAGAAGCTCATCGCGCACCCCAACCGCGAGATCCAGAAGGAGGTGCGAGCTGGTTGTTTGTTTGTTTTTTTATCAGTTTGCGTTGACCGCGCTTTGTAAACGGCTGACCAATGAAAAGACGGCGGTGTCAGCGGGTAAAAAGTCGAGGTCCCTGGAAGTGGGGCAGTATTGATATTTTGAGAGTGGGCGTGGCCCAGAGTGGCGATGGTGGATATTCCCCTCTCTACAATACAAACCTTTTGCGAAAGAAACACGCCGGAGTTTTGTGTGTGTCTGTTGTGTGTTCATGCGTGTCTCTGAATGCTAATAATAACTGCCGCGCTTACCGGCTGCCCAATGACACGACGGCGGCGTTCTGAGCGGGTTAAAAGCGAATATCACGGCCCCCAGCGACCCAGGCTTAAGGATTCGATTATTGTAGTAGGATACGTGTTGTCATCGGATCATGCCCGAGGTGCGTACAGCGAGTACCCTCGGTATCATCTCTTGCATGTGCCCACGCTTGACGGGTGTTTGTCTCCGTAGCGTCCACCGCACTTATGCTGGACTGACACCTGTGTGCCTCGCAATCATGGCGTCACTGAGAGCTATGTATGATGATATTGATGCACGTTTGTGTCTGTGTCGATTGTTTGGGGGGTCATGGCGCTCTGTTTTACGAACAGGCGTGCTGGACGCTGAGCAATATTGCGGCGGGTTCGGTGAGCCAGATCCAGAGCGTGCTGGATAGCGGTGCGATGCCTCAGCTCATCAAGGTCAGTTAGTGAGCGACTGCTAACGATTTCTTTTTGCTTTTTTTCAAGTGGGCCATCCAGTTGTTATCCAGCTCCGCGTTCTCCCACTCGTCTTGTTGCTTCTGCTTTCTGGCAAGCAACCCTTTTTGACAATGTGTGAACAATATGAAAACCTCGCTGTGGAATGGGTTCAAGCTTGAGGTACGTGTTGTAGAATACTTTTCGCTTTGTTCGCTCGTCTTTTTCGTCTATAGAAACTGCAGCAAGGACGTCTTTTTTCCAGAAGTGTAGGTGTTTGTTCGTGACCATGTAATGTGGTGGTGGTGCTGTTGTCCTTCCTTTTGGCTTCCCTCGACTAAATAGTGCCGTCGACACTACGAACGTACCTCACAGAGTACAAGCGCTTTGTGGCGACAATGTGAAAAGCTGTGTTCATTTACTTTGTCTTGAAAAGTAAGGCGGGCCTCACAGAGTACACGCGCGTGTTGAGTAGAAAGATCGAGAAAATGTGTTTCTTTCGTGTCGAAGAGGAAGGCGGAGGGGGTAGGTACCCTATATCTCTAGAGGCCGGAACGTTTTTTATTTTGAAGACAACGACAGCAGCAGTAGCAGCAGCAGCAGCAGCAGCAGCAGCATGTGTCGATTGTTTGTGCGTTGTACGCGCCAGTCTTGGGCAACCTCCCGTCGAAATTTCAAGCACCGCCCGGCGTGCCTGTCTGGTACTTATATACGTAGCTTAGCGGGCCGTAGCACCAACAAGGCGTGCTATTTGTTGTAACCCACAACAGATCATTCCAGCAGCAGCGCGTTCCGGCTGCCACCTGTAGTGAATCCATCCCGCCTTCCTTGACGTTTCTGTCGTCAAAAGTGGGATTGAACCGCTCTCACACACGAGCGCACCTTCCTCTTTGCGTTGCTTCTCCTCTTTGCAACCCTTCTTCCCGTACACTCGACACTCGATACTCGATGGTACGGCAGCTCGCGACCTCGCCGGAGACGGAGTCCGAGGTGCGATCAGAGGCCTTCTGGGTCGTCCTCAACGCCGCCAGCTGTGGCTCTGATGCACAGGTGTGTTTTGACGCTGTTGTTGTTGTCGCTGCTGCTGTTGTCATCGCTGCTGCTACTGCTGTCGATCCTGTGTGCTGTCGTAGCTTTTGATGGTGTGGTTTCTGATGATACCTCGACTTGGAAAGGCGTTACATCCTCTCTGCCCACATGAGTAGGTAACCCTAGAGATGAGGCGAGGAGCTTCCGTGATCGAACAACACGCGCAGATACAAACGAAACTCCGATGCAAAACCCGACTATTCCAGCAAAGCAGTGCAAGAGACTGCCCCGATGCTACGGAACTCAAGCGAAGTCCATGGATGTAGTTGAAAATTCCAGTGGTTTCCATGCATGATTCCCTTACAACAGGCTTTCACCACTTCCGCCACATATCGATGCCAAGCCCTTAACCAAACGCTACACCCCCCTTGCGGGAAGAATCCGAAGGGCTGCTGACTCGACCCAACACGCTCGTCGACCCACTCGTCACGTTCGTGTATGTCTCCTCCCCTTTGTTTTGTATGTGTGTGTTGGCATGGGATTGGATTAGATCGAGTATCTGGTGTCACAGGGGTGCGTGCAGATCCTCTCGGATCTCCTTGGGGAGAGCTCGATGGTAATGATGGCCTTGGAAGGGATCGAGAGGGTGCTCAGCGTTGGCGATCTCCGCGTGATGCGGAACGCTATCGCCTCGCACTCGCATGCAGATCCCGATCAGGTGCGCGGAGTTTGTTGTCATTGTTGAGGTAATGCCGGTGGTGATGGAAGTGGTAGCGGTATGTCTGCTCTTGCGGGTCAATACACAGCAGTCAGTCGGTCATGAGAGTACATGGCACCGAAGTCAATCACGAAGGTGCGATTTTGTGGTGGAGCAAAAACGACTGTCAAAGATGTTATCCCGAAAGAAGACCCCAAGAGTTGCCAGAGGTATGATAGGGTCGAGGCGATGTTATCGGGGTTGATCACCAGGAGCATGGCACCAGCACGTGGTGTGATGCATCCGTTAATTGGCTCGTGCTGACGGGGCCCCTGAGGGAAGGGAAGGCATGAACCGAAGGTATTTGTGAGAACGAGTACATTATATGTAGTTTTGTGAATCGCTCTCTCGGTACAGACTGGTGTGATCCTGACCGGGATGGCCATGGCAGTAGCATCCCCGGAGCACTATGCCCGCGCCTTTTGGGTGTTCCCTGGCGGTAAAAATGTGTCCATTTAGCGGCATGAAAATTGAACACCGAGCGAGAGACCCAGAATAGATGTGTATAAAACCACGGAGATGGACCCCAAAAGTGCTTTCGGTCTTCCTGTTCAACCATCAGCAAGATGCCCCTATTTTGATTTGTGATGTACAGCACCAATGGTTGTATTATTCTACACCTGCCCTCCACATTTCGACTTATTTTGCTCTCCTGCCTCTGCAAGGGAGGCGATGGTGCCGGTGGTCACGGGGAGGGAGAGGGAGAAGGGGACCATTGCATGGAGTGCGCGAGCATGGAAGCGGTCGGGGCGGCGGCGGCGGCGGCGAACGCGAGGGACGGTCATTGCGCCACGGAGGCGCTGGCGGGCGGAGAGGCCGGAGCGTACACGAACCCCTACGCTTGCATGCTCACGCCGGAGAAGATCCAGGCGCTAGAGGCGCACAAGAACTCGGCGGTTGCCAAGAGGTGAGCTTTTTCGTTGTTATCTTCGTGCGAGTGTAAAGTTCAAGCGTGTGCGTATGTACGAAGAATTTTGTTTTTCGTTTTAGGGTGGGTTCGTGCATGTAATTCCTTCTGCGTTTTACCTGTCGGATTCGTTGATGCACGCACGTGCTGTTTTTTTTTCTTGGAGAACTGATCAGCTCTTGTGGCAGACTTTTTTTTCGCTTCTGGTGGTTGTTGTTGGGTCGTTTGCCTTTACTGCTGTAGTACGCAAGGAACGCGGCTGTTCTGCGTGTGGACTTGATCGCAAGATCCCCTATCCTACTTCGTAAATTTTTGTTTCGAGGAAGTCCTCTATTTATTGCAGATTCCCCAACATATAGCGATCTATGAGAGGATCTACAAATGTATTTCGTTGGGAGGCAATCGATTGTCGAGGGAAGTTGAATCGGGTTTGTAGCATGCTCCCGGAGGGTTACGTTCTTGTTTTTTGTGAAAAAAGATTTTGAGTTGCCGGTAGTCCGTTGCGCACTTGCCGTCTCTCACCACTGCCGCACCGGCTACTTGCTTGTTTTGCCTAAATGTATAGTAGTGGCCGCTCTGTGTTCGAGGTCGCTCGTCGCCCCCTCTCTCTATCTCTCATCTCGGCTGATGTACTCCTGTTCATGGTGGGTAACTGCTATGGCGTCAAGTCGGTCATTTGAGGGCCGGATTTTGTTTGCAACAAGGGTGCTGCTCGTCGGTGGATGCTTTCGCGAGCACACATATATACCACCGCGCTGATTCACGCATTCCCTCTCCCCACGGGTACTCGTGTCGGCTGTCTGCCTCCCCCTGCTGCGGTTGGACCTTTTTTCGTCCTTGTGACGTGACGTGACGTGACGTCACACCTTTTAGGGCCAGCCGAGTGTGGGCGCGCTACTTCGTGACGTGCGCGATCTGCCGGGGGTTCTTCAGCAGGCACGGCAGCAGCGCCACCTTCTGCGCGGAGTGCAACTGCCACGTCTGCGGCAGCTGCGATTGCACCGTCTTTCACCTCGCCTACCAGGTAAGCAGAGCTGCTAAATGCTGCTGCTAAATGCTGCTGCTGCTAAATGCTGATTCTGCTGCTGCTAATGCCGCTGCTGATTCTGCTGCTAATGCCGCTGCTGATTCTGCTGCTTCCGCTAATGCTGCTGCTGCTGATGATGCTGCTGCTGCTGCTAAATGCTGCTGCTGCTGTGTGGTGAAAAAAACGGTGTAGCTCGCACGCACGAATGGTCCGGTAGAGATGTTCTAGAGGTCCTACGGCCTACAGCAGTATGTAGGTGTGCCACAAGACGGATGGGAAAAGAAGAAGCAGTACACAGAGAGGTTGTGCCCTACCCCCGGTTTGCGTGTTCGTCAACGTTGTGACTCTGTCCGCTCCGGTGTGTGGAGGGGGGGGGGGGGGCTCAGCAACATGTTTCTTTGGAAGCGCACACTGCTGTGTACTAGGGGCAACCACCCGCTCTACCTTGAGGTCTCGTCATTTTTATGTTGCTCTCTTTCACCCATTGCAGGGATGGCAATGCCGACCCTTTCTTTCGCTCCTGGCTTGATCTGTCTCGGCCTATGAACTTGGTCGTGTTGGTGATTTTTTTTTTTTACTGTAGGTTTTTTGTGGAGAGGTTGCACTGCTGTTGGTTAATCTGCGCGTGGTATTGTTTTGCCGATGGTGCGACTCGCTTGCTGCTGTCGCTCTACTACAGGACAAGCTGTGGGAGGAGATGGAGGGCAAGGAGGAGAGGGGGAAGAAGGCCCAACAAGCTGCAAAGAAGAACAAGAAGGTGCGAAATTTGCTTGGTCTCGTATGCATTGCCACTCCTCCGTTGCAATATGAATATGTATATCCTCCCGTCCTCCGTCATTACAGCAAGCTAGAATACTATGCCGCTGGACACTCGTTTCAAATGCAGGGCCGCACCCTGCGATACCACCTCAGCTGCAACTATGTGTTCTTGTACATTTGCGTGCTCTATTGTTAGGCTTGTTTGTGGGGTATGTTAAGCGTACCGTCCGGCAAGAGCATGCCACTGAAGAGCAGCTTCTTTGTACAGCCCGTGGATGTGTTTTTGGCATTGGGGTTGCAATTTTGTCCTACCCCTGGTTTACACACAAAAGTAGCGCTTCTGCTGGTGTGCCCCCCCCCCCCCCCCCCCCAGT